TAACATCCCATATCGACTCCGTAGAAGAATAAAAGATAGAAGGAACGGTTAGAATATTGTCATTTAAAAAAATAGAATATAATCAAGAGATTGTAGAAGTTTTCTTCAAAAATTGAACTGGTATGGTGAGTTAGTAGTAGCTTTGTAATCATACCGAGATGATTTTCAAAATCCGATGCTTTTCAGTGGCAGTCTTGTATTTAATACGCTTGAGAGTCTGTGATAAGATAACAATGTGGCCACTATGTTATCCATAGCAAAAAGCCAACGTAACTATTTGTTAAATGGTTGCGCTCATAGTGATATATATACCCGTGGGTGTGGTGGTGTGGTGTGGCCCGGCGCACAGCGGACATGGCCAACCATCCCACCACATATTCATTGCGACCGCCAGTCACAGCATAGTGTGGGAACCACAAGTCAATGATGTTAGACAGCTGTTAAATATTCCAAATTGAGAATGGCAGAGACGCTACACCATTTCAGACCCAGGTAGAGTTTAAGATTGCTGTCCAGGAAACTCATTTCGTTCATAAAAATCGAAGAAATCTTTGTAACCTTCTGCCGATATTGATGGTACGGGTGAACGTTGATATAACCTTGTGGGGTCCTGGAAGGAGGAATCGAGACACCGAGCATCTGGTGGTTCTCGGTGTTTGCAAGCACCGAAATGTGAGGCAGAGAGAAGTTCGTACGCATGAAGGCCTCGAAAAAGACACGGAGCCTCAGGTCACAACTGAGAGGGCAGCTGCCCCAGCGAGCCAAAAACCAAAGGGTAAACGCAAGGGATTCGTGGGATGACACGATAAGAAGGGTTTTGAAACTCATAACAGGGAAAAGCATCCACAGAGAGTAATAATGCGATTACACAATAGTACAGTACATAGGGTCGCCCAGTCACCTAAAAGTACTCGCTGTGGGTGCAAGTCAGGTAATGTAGGATTTAGGCAAATGGAGATAATTTGTAACGAATAGCTATCGAAATAATGTCGTTTACGCCTATCAACCGAATGGTCGAGGTGCTATAGGCCGCAGCGCGTTTATTCTCGAAGAGGATAGTTATATGAGAAGGTAGCGAAGATAATGCGGAAGAGGATCGATACCAACACGGTCTAGAGCCCGGGTCTGGTGTCCGGTGTTTCCACTCTGCGTAAGGGAGGTGCCTTTTAAAACCTGCAGACGGTGTCATACGAACCATTCGCATTGACAACAAGGGCTACCGTCGCAACTGAAAAGGAGGTAGGACATATAAGTTGCCGCGCTCGGTCAATATAAATATACGAGTATAGGGTACTCGTTTTAAAACCAGATAATTTGGTGCAGCTGTGCACAGCGCATGGTATTTGTTCAGCAGAGAGTCAGCCCATGTTGTCTCATCTAGGCTATTAGTGCTTTCTTTCGGGGCATGCCGCGGGTACCCACAGAGGTAAGTAAACTGACAATAGTCATGGGTAAAGTTGGCGAGATGGCATAAAGGTAGTTGTCTAGCTCTCTTCTAGCAACACCAGGTTTATATACTGCCAATGTAGGATAACCATAACCCAGCAACATCTAGTGAGCCAAGGCCTTGGAAAACCTTTACTCGCACACCGAGCTTATGACTATCTTCCTGCTGGTATCACAGAGAGAAGCAGGATGTTAACATGTCCCAGATGATAAGGATAAAAGCTGCAAAATCCCTCTGCTGAACGCTTTTGAGAAAAGCATCAGAGGTGCATCCCCCTATAATATAAAGGTCTGTGGGCAGCCAGAACAATAGATCAACAGAGACTCATTCTTTAGAGCTTGTCAGTTCTCCCGGTGATATCGAGAACTCCTCAACCGCTGTAGCCAATCGAGCGATCTAATGGGAAATAAGTAGGTACGCGAATCTGATGAATCAACACATGCTTAGACGAAGGCCTTGGAAATGGATGTGTGCTGATAGCTCCTCATGCGTTTCCTGTGGTCGATGGGTCAGGAATCCCGCGCGTAACATTCCTAGCGTGGGATAACCAACACAGTGTGGGTCTCGCATAAATCAGGTTTGTAGATGAAACGGCAACCCCCTTTGAAGGTGCGCTCTGGCAAGGCGGTCGCATTGCAATATAGGGAATTGCGATATCCAAACTGAGTAAGGTGGAAGATCTCCTGTCGATCAACGTAGTGTGGTACTATGGAGAGATAGCGGTAAAGTTCTGATAATCCGGATTCACTCAGATAGAAAATGAAGAGTGTCCAGAGGCATAGGGACATAATTGATACAAGTCATAAGTGAAATGTTCTGCAGGTAAACAAAACACGCAGTTGTGACAAAATGATTGATTATTTGCACACAGGGGGTAATTCTGGCCGGGTCGATATTTATAGAATTGAAGGCTAGAGGAGGCGGGTCAGAGGAAGGAAGACAAAAAGCTTATCATAGACCGCAGCGACTACTAAAGTTCAGCGTGGTTGAATCAACGAGGCGGAATAAATTGGTTGCGCGTTCGAACATTCTCTAAAAACGCTGGCGTAAGTCCAACCCACGGCCACTCATTTTGGCTTTAAATCAGAGTCAACCATTTTCTCGATCAGCACTCATGTAGCCCCTACCGTACTGTTATTACCCCTCACGAGGGGATTGGTTTTAATAAGACATCATATCCAATGCCTCCAGCGCGTAATTTTGCGTCTATCAGGATAAGTGGGCGAGGAGGATTGGGGAAATCGGACTCTAGATTCCAATTACCGACAGCGGAAGAACTGATTGTATATTGTCCGGCCCGATGAGACTCTGAACAAGGGCCTCCACCTTAAGCCGATTCATACGTAGTGGAGGATATACCAAGAGTAACTGTGGAGCGTTGGAGCTAAGCCAAGTCCATGAGGGCTGTTGTTATCTCTCCTGGTTAGTACTCGGGTCGCAGTTCTTGTTCCTATCATATGGTTTATAGTTACACCTCCACGGGGTTGAAACTGTAGACATCATAATTGGTTGCCTGGTTTTTGGTTGTCGGTTTGTATTGGTACTCAAAACGTGTTGGCAGCGTCTTGAAAGAATCTTTGCATCGACGCTCACACCATGTCCAGGAGGTGAGAAGTAAGGAGCCCTCTGTAACATTTATGAGAAAAAAGATTGCCCAATGATGTTTGGAAAGTTCCACGAGCATTGGTTCGGTTGTTTCATTGAAAAATGGTAGTAAATGTTTTCATGATATGCCGGTAGTTATTGCGTAATTACTCAACATGCCTGGCGGCGAATAATGGAGGACCGAAATAGCGACTCGAACGTGGATAACTAGTCAAGCAATGCAGGTTTCGGCAGGTTTCGGCAGGTTTCGGCAGGTTTCGATTGGACGGTGAACCATTAATTGCTCCATTATCCTGCCATATTTTTGTGATGTCGATTTCATTAGAAATAGATTCGGCACGATCTCCTTCACGTAAGTGTTGGAAATGTTGCCCGCGGCCATTAGCATCAGGGGTAATGAATGAGCGATTTCAATTGCCGTAGAGATCATGCGTTCTAGCTCTTGACGATGCCTGCATCTTTCTGAAACTGCCGAACCAACAATGCTGACATTGGCATTATTCCTTTCCCTTGCATGAAGCCGGTTGTCATAACTGCTGAATAGTCACTGGTGGGTAATTTTGACCGATTTTTGCTTGAGGAAGAGAGAAACCTGTGTCGGTGGAACAATCAAGAATCAGGAGGACAACAAAATGTTATCACAATGTCCTCCCGGATATCAGCCATTTGGTAGATGGCTGCAGTGGGGACACAAATCCAGTGAGCTGCAAAGCGTGGCGGTCGTAGTGCTTGAATAGGAGTACCAAAACGATCCAACGAAGCAGTCAAGGAAAGTATATTTCTTCTCGAAGTTAATGAGCCGGATTATGTATCTTGTCGCATAAATTCTCCTGGATGAGTTGCATGATATTCATTGAGTGTTGAACTGGTAAATATATTTTGAAGAGCCCCTCCATGCTGCGTCGGAATCGCCCGGAAGAAGTTGCTAACCATTATTGATATCATGAACCTCTCGGTGGAGAGCTGAAATAAGGGCCTTTAAAGTGACCAATGTACCTCCCAGGGTCGTTGGGGGATTACCAGTAGGTACAGTATCGACATATCGCCATCCATAAATTGACCCTTGTCTCTCCCAAGTTTTCCAACAAGGACACCAAGTAAAAATTCCCATTACCTGCTCCAGCATGCCTTTAAATGCCGGGAATTCTATTCGTGGCCGTGTTAATATCTTAACCAGGGCCCAAAAGATGGTGAGTATCGTCAGGACACTTTCAAGATGGCCACTCGCCTCGTCACTCTTCGCCTGCAAATTGCTTGGATTGTCACATGCGGAGACACCCGTACTAGGGGCTTCGGATTTGCACTTTTTCACATTTAGAAAAGTGTTGAAGGCTTCAGGATAAAGCTTGAAACAGCATATATGGGCTTTGCAACTAATCGCTCTGATGACACCAAGACGATCGGAGGAATCGGCAATGCCAACATGTCAGCTTGAATATTTCCTCGTTAAGTGGCCTTCAAGAAAACAACACCATTCAAACTCCTTTCGATTCTTCCGCCTCGCATGATAGGGTGTCTCCCACTGACCGAAGGCGACATGGTAGGAAAGAGGAGGAAAAAGAGAGAGAAAAATCAAGATGGCCGGGCAAAGGACCATATATATAGGAAAGTTGGTGGTGAAGGGTCACTTTCTCACGAGAGGGAATGGTTTGAAGATCCCGGGGACGTATCTAAAATTGAATGCAGCGCCCAGCAGGGAATGTTTCAGAAGATCTGGGGAGAAAGTTAGAAATTGAATCGTTAATACTGGATGAAGGGTAATCTGTCGCGCGAGGCGTTTCAGTTAATGTGGATCCGTAACTTTCCAGAATTTAATATAATGGTACAACCTTGGAGTAACCACTCATTCACGTCGCCTACCCAAGAAACGACCGAGACAAAAGGCTAAAAAAGAATACTTCGTAGTTACCACCATAAAACCAATTTCGATCGATAACCCTTAGGAATCTCAGCTGAATATCTTCTGCGGCTCCCTTTCATCTCTCTTGTCGACAGTGTGTCCCTCGCCAAGAGCCTGAATATTGTACACATCCAGAGAACCTAATGATAGCCGAAGAAATGCATGCTTGTTTCGCCAACTTATTTGGCTTGCCGCGAATCCCTCGGAGTATGCCGGTGGAGGGGGGGGATCTGTAATTTTGGTAATTAAATATGCTGTAGACGCTTCTGCAATACCATACACTAGAACCCCAAGCAGAGGTACTGTAAGCATAGTGTAGAAGCCAATCGCAAATCCAAAAAGCACACCTGCTCGGTCACGAAACCAGAGCCTCTTTTGTTCTTTCGTGTACTTGATACGAGAGAAATATGGTTCAAGCTGTCAATGTTGTCAATAAACTTCCAGAATACAAATAAATTGCAATTTTTAACCAAGAATAGCACGAGATGAACAAAGCAATATCGGCATCTTCTTACCAGTTCTCGCGTAAGACTACGCGACGAAAAATAACTTTGTAGAAATATTACAACAATCCTTTTTGGGACAACAAGCCCAGAGCCAAATATGACAAGGGCTGGTATAGGTCCTACCGCTTTATTAAAGGCGTAAAAACTGGCAGCTGGGATCACAAATATTCCAACAACTGGGAGCAGCGAGAGCAAATAGACAGCGAGCGAGGTGGCAGTTCTCCGGCCATATCGGATCACAAAAGTTGTAAGAGACGAGGCCAAAGTTGAAGTGGTGGCGCCATCCCTCCTGACTGAATACATCCTGAGGTGGGGATAATACAGGGCTCGCAAACCCTCAGGATGATCTGACTTGTGTTTCTCGATATAGGTCGAATCAACCCATCGGAGAGATTCCATAAACCTTCAGCAGTGAGACTCTGAGTGGCCACATCAATTAGGTACGGCGGTGGTTTGGAATACATACATATCGTCTAATGTAGGAGTAAGATAGCGCATCAAGGTCATCAATAAGAATGGCACTTGTAGGACGTATGTTGATATAAAGTCAAGATGGCTAATGATTGTATCGTCCCATGTTGCCGCGTCCAAGTTGACAACCCAGGAGAGAAGCCATATTACGAACTTAACTCCAACAACCTGCAAAAGAGAGCGTTAAAATAACCATCAATACGACATATGATCTGTTCCATACATACTGGAATAGAAATTATGAGTCGAATTGCAATCCCGGCACAAACCGCGAGGGCTGCTTGCCTGTAATGTTGCGACTTGAAGAGGGACGGGTTCTGCAGAGCTCTATGGGCTAATTGGGCAACAAACAAGCAAATAACAAAGACGATTAGCGGGATGGATCTTGAGGTTCCTGCACATAAACTTATCTCGCGAGTAGAATCAGTGCAGATATGCAATACACCTGAAATCTGTGCATCGACTGGCCATCAACGGGAACACTCACCTCCTACTAATGTAAGCTGGGCTCCGCGAATAATGGCATTTGGTTCGAAATTAGACATTGCTGATGTCCTGAGTGGCAATATCTAGGTCATACAGCCAGCCAATAATAGATGGAAAGCTGAACACCGCTGAAAAGAGTATCTTTGCTTTCCGGATATATGGTTATCTTCGATCAGGGCTCAACCGCATCCATGGATGGAAGTTGATGTCACGCAGAATCCCACTTAGCTAAGCTCTTAGCTAAGGTTAAGCGCCAGCCGAGCCCCATCGTCCCGTATCCCCAGCTCCGATCTCCAAACTCTCACTCAACCCCTCGCTCCCACCAGGTACCAGGTTTCATCATCTGTTCTGATACGGCCTTCGTCCATCGATTTAACGGCTAGGTCATCATTCGTTTAGTTACTGCCCTGTTATTATATACCTACGCATTCCATTCTCGTTGCTCCCTACTCGTTGCGTCCCTTCCATGTGAGCTTCCTTGGCTTCCCCCGCAGCTGTGGATACTTAATCTAATGGATCCTGGCGAACCTCTTAAGCGCTCCAAGACCTTGCCCGCGAGGTTACGCCATAGCCTGGGTTCTGTCGATGGCCCAAGCCCGGGTTCCAATGAAGTGTTATTCCACCACCATTCCGCCAAAATCGTGAAATTCGAACTCCCCAATTCCACCCACATCGCTCCTCCCAGTGATATTTCCTCAGACCTTGACTATGTAGTTGATGCTGTCGAGACCTTGCCGTGGCGCCTGTCAACCGAGAGAACAGTGGCCGTGGGTTACTTGAAAATCGAACAAGTTCCCGGCTCAACCATGTTCCTCAAGTCTGGCGACGTAGTGCGGGCTCTCATGAAGAACTGCCAGTGTTGGTGTGTGGATGGGAATTCAACTTTTGTCATAAGAATACAGCGCCTCACCTATTACCGCATTGAACTACCATTCAAAACAGAGCAAGATAAGGAGCAGGTGGAAACATTGAAGCAGGTTCTTCGCTCAATTATTCGATATGAAGTCACACCCTGTCCCTTCAAGCGAGGATTCTCTGTCGAGTTGCCCGAAGAGGCGAGAACCCCACGGAAGAAGAAAGCTTGGCGACCGAAACTGGACCCAAGCGTCGAAGTTGGGAAATTGAGCTTTGGAGAGGCCGGCTCAAATGGTGTAGGATGTGGGAGAAGTGATACCAGGAGCACCCATGCGGACTCAGAAGATGGAGCGGCCACAGACGGGAGCGAAAACACCCCCAAGGCACGACGTGCACCCACATTCAATCACGAAGGGTCGCCCTCCGTACCTACCGCAGCTAGAGCAGTTAGAAATGTCACGGAACCTACTTATACCTTTGATTCCATCATGGCCAGGTTCCAAGCGCTTCCGGACAGCGAAAGCGAAACGGATGGGGATACGCTGTCATCAAGTATGGGTTCTTTCCACTCTTTCAAGTCGGCTCGTTCTGGGCTTCCGTCACCTCCATACTCTGAACCCCCGTCGCCTCTCGACTCTCGTCCTCTTGACAATGTAGAGCAGCTACAGATCCCTCCCAAACCGATCCATACCCGTGAACTTTCCGAGGCTACCGTTGTGGCCGAACCCGTTGGGCTAGAGGAGGCTGTCGCATCTTGGAAAGAGAATAGATCCTTAGAGACAGACCGCGTATCAAGTCCACCGGGTCACATGAATGGAATAACCACATCTACGCTTACCACAAGTCCCGGCACAGCCATACGCCAACGCTGTCTTCAAGGGCCAAACAGGCACGAGCTTCCTCCAACGCAGTCCTCAACGAGTTGGAGCCCTGAAGGTGGATCACCAGTCAACAAGATGACCGCATCAATCCTTCGGAAAACCTGCTCCCTCATCGTAGGTACTCCGATCCAAGTTTTAGCTATAATCCTTCACATCGCAGCTCGTCTCGCCCATGGAGGCGAATCTCGTGCCACCAATACCGACGAATCAGACAATCATTACGATGGCTCTGACTCTGACGATGGCATTTGGAGTGAGGATGACTTCGGTATCCCACTGTCAACAGCTGCTTCAGTAAAAGCAGCCGATCCCAGCATCGACAACGGCCATTTTGAACTTTGGGAGGAAGAATTGGACTGACTAATAGTATTTATTGACTACGCTATCATTGAGGATGGTCTAGAGCAGTCCTCTTCTCGGTGTGTACCTTTATTGAAACAATCTATTAATGTATTTTAATATGCGGATGGCTATTGCTTGACCTGTTGAACTTTTCGTTTTAGTCTTTGTGTTGATCTGGCGAACTTGAATCCCTGCGAATATGGATGGAGGGTTACTATTTGGCGGGTAGGTATGCACGGTTTGGGTTATTGCCGAGTGGTTTTCTAGGAGTTTTGGTGATCCTCTGCAAGCTCGATCGACGATCGATTTACGGCCATTGATCAAGACCTGCACGGCTCCACTACATTTTACAACGCTCATTTCCGTTGTCCTTGTCTCCTATCCTCTATCCTCTATGGTTTTATTTGGTATCACTGGCGCTATTATCGGCGATCTGTCGGCTATGTATGCACTTTTATATGTTCTATTATGATACGGCGTTTCTTATAGTTGCTTAGCGTTTGTCTGCAATATCCTCCAATTTCACACCATTTAAATTTCACGATGTCGTGGCTACGTTGAATGCATTCCCAGACCCCAAGTCACATTTCAAATCAAAGAGGAATATTCTCTATCCAGATCTCACACCCATACGTAAATCTCCACATTCACTGAAATATCAAGTCAAACGCTCAGCACAGTTCTGATGCAAAACGAAATGGAAATTAAAAAAAAAAAAAAAAAAATGATAACCCCTCAAAGGAAACGCCTATGGCGCCTAACAACCGAATGCAGGGCTCTCGCGTATCTCATCCCTTTTGCACAGAAACCTTCTCCCCTTCCCCTCCGGAGCGATAATAAAGCAAGCCCCTTCCTGGCTACGCCTTTCCCTTCCCACCCTTTCCCTTCGCCTTCTTCTTCCCACTCCGATCCCTCTTCTTCATCCCCACCATCCCTAACTTGCAGATCTCGGCATATTTCACAAAGAACCCCTCAATATCATCCGGCTGAATGATCGTCGACACCTTCGACTTGGCCCCTTTGTGTCGTCCGTTTGTGGCGCGGACGAGGACGGGCATGGGTGCGGGTACTGGTGATGTCGACGGTAGGGCTGCTGTGGTATCTTCTGACTGTGTAGGGGAGGGGGAGGCAGTGGCGGTGGTTGTGCTGATAGGTAGCCGCTTTTGTGTGAGGAATATGGAGCCGCGCGCTTTTGTGGATTGGGTTGTTAGGAGTGCTTTTAGGGCGGCGAAGAACTGTAGTTTGGTTTTGGGATTATCAGTTCTTCCTTCATGAAGTTGTGTAGAGGGGATTAAATATATATATATACTCACCTCATCATTGGAGAGATGGGGACCGGACATTTTGGGCGGAGTGTGTGGGGTTGTTGATTTCGCACTCGTACTCGGCTGTATATTTTCGATTGATTGCAGATATCCTTTTCTTTCCGTCTCGGGGCTATACGCTAGCTTATATATCAAATGAGCTGCGTTCGCATCGAGAATATCGTGAGCGTCATATGTCATTAGTTACTAGTAATCACCGAGCTTGAAATAATCTTATTCATGTCGTTGGGTTGTAGAAGCTCCGCACACCGCTTTCCAACTTGCGCGGCAGAAAAAAGTTCCTCAGAATGCCATCTGGCGCAGGACCCATTCAGTCGGTCAATCTTACCGCTCCGCGACCATGCCGCGCCCCCTCTACGATACGACGCAGCTCCCGAAGCAACTTCGGGAGGAGCTGGGCATTTCAGTTCCGACTAATGGTCGTAGAGGAGCTCGCCGACACAATGCTCCTCTTTCCCGCAAGGAACAGCGGAAAGCGACTCGGACGAACAACAAACGCACACTGTCTGTGCAACAATGGAAATGGTCTCAGGGGGGCGCACGGGATGATGAGGAGGATATGCGAAGCACTCCGTCCATGACTGGAAGGGTTATCGGGAAACCAAAGCAGACTGCGAAGTTAAATGCGGCGAAGGCGCCTAATTCGATCTCGAAGGGGCAGAGAAAGATCATTGACGAGTCTGAGGTTGAGTCGGACGAAGGGGCTGATGAAGACGAAGAACGGGGCTTTTCGGATTTGCTTAATGAAAACGAAGGTGATAAGCAGGAGGATGATAACTCGGAAGAAAGTGACGAGAAGGGAAGGAGGAATTCTGCAGTGCGGACTAGGATATCTAGAGCAGTGGAAGCAAAATTGGCGGAGGACGATGCAGAGATCTCTTCTCTAGAGAAAAAATTGGGCATCAAATGGAAGAAAGGGAAGTTGCCACAATCATTTTATGATGAAGGGTTAGCAGATTTACTCGGTGATCCGAGCGGGAGTGACTCGGAGGATGAATCACGGAAGCGGAAGAGGGAAGGGGACGAATGGCTGCAGCGGAAGAGATTGAAGGCGCAGGCTGCAGCGCGAGAAGCTCGTAAGGGAATGGGTACGGCTAGTGATAGCGGAAGCGAGGAGGTTTCCGAATCTGAGGGCAGTGACTGGAGTGGTGGGAGTAGCGAGGGAGGTAGTCTGGGGAATGAATTCGAAGGGTTTAAAGACGAGGATCCAGAGAATTCACCTCCCAAGCCCAAGAGACGGGAAAATCCATACGTCGCACCAGTTGTGGCTGTGGATACAGTTGCACGCAAATACATACCCCCATCCCTCCGAGCCCCGGCGGCCAGTGAAGCAGAGTCCGTAGCCCGTCTACGACGACAGGCCCAGGGACATCTTAACAAACTTTCCGAAGCAAACCTCGTCTCAATTCTGCGAGACGTCGAGAAACTCTATCAGGACTATCCACGACACAGTGTCACCTCGACATTAATCGACCTGTTGATGGACATGATTTACAACCCAAGCGTTCTGCAGGACACATTCATCATCCTGCATGCTGGTTTCATAGCAGCTATGTATAAGGTGTTGGGCATGGACTTTGGGGCGGAGTTTGTAGAACGAATCGTCAAAAGATTTGATGACGACTACCGAAGAAAGGACGGCGGACTCAGTAAACAGCCGATTAATGCCATATCTCTACTGTCGCATCTTTATAACTTCCATGTTCTCGGATGTAGCTTGATTTTCGACTACATCCGCCTTTTCCTGGAGGAAATCAATGAAATGAATACAGAGCTACTTTTGAAAATTATTAGAAGTAAGTAATAATACATAGAACCCTCTTCCGGACGTCCAGGTTCCATCTGCTAATTTATTCATCTCAGATTCCGGGCCCCAACTGCGACAAGACGACCCGTCCTCGCTAAAAGACATAATTCTCCTCATGCAACCCGCAGTCTCCCAGATCGGTGAAGGCGAGTTATCCGTCCGTACAAAATTCATGATCGAAACCATGACAGACCTTAAAAACAACAGATTAAAAACGGGCGCGACCGCATCCTCCATCTCATCCGAGCACATCACCCGTATGAGGAAAATTCTCGGATCCCTCAGCAACTCACGCACCCTCCGCGCCAGTGAGCCCCTCCGCATCGGCCGCGCAGATATCCACAATTCCGCCAGAAAGGGGAAGTGGTGGCTAGTGGGAGCAAGTTGGAAAAATGATGACCCCACGAACCAGTCTGCCTCAGCAGTTCTGGATGCCACGGCAGCTCTTCCGGACACGCTACCCGATGATATCGGCGGTGACGAGGTCGACCTCGCGCAATTAGCCCGAGCTCATCGGATGAATACCGATGTTCGGCGATCCATATTCGTCGCGATTATGTCGGCGGCTGACTGCCGAGATGCGCATATCCGGCTGGCGAAACTGCGGTTAAAACGGAACCAGGAGGGGGAGATCCCTCGTGTTGTCCTGCACTGTGCTATGGAGGAAGTAGCACATAACCCGTATTACACACTCATAGCGCGGAAGCTCTGCGGGGAGCGGAGAATGAAAATGGCGTTCATGTTCTCGTTATGGGATGTGTTTAAGCGGATGGGTGAGAAGGGTGATCTGGAAGAGGGTTCAGACGCCGACGTTGACGGCGATGGCGATGATACAGTGACCAGCAAAGCCATTGTGAATTTGGCGAAAATGTTTGGCAGCATGGTTGCGGACGGTGCGCTTACCTTGGGCATCCTCAAGGTCTTGGAATTTGCGTACTTGCAGCCGAAGACGAAGACGTTTGTTGAGTTGCTGCTTGTTACTGTCATGGTGCAGACGCAACAGAAAAGACTGAAGAAGATGAAGCAGAATGAAAAAGCACCATCTGTGGCTAATGACGGAGCGGATGAGACAGAGTTTGACGAAAAGGCGCTTGCGGATGTGTTTCTGCGAACTCGGGAAACTCCGCAAATTGTCCCACGCCTAATTTACTTTATTCGCAAGGTAGTTGCGAAGACGGATATTGTGGCATCAAAAAGGGAGAAGAGGATCGTTAAATGGGGGAGTAAGGTTGCGTTGGATACGTTGAAGGTCGTATCTCGGGCTGTTGATAATTCTTGATACCCTTCTGCTTTCTCTCCGATGTATATCCAAAGCAGAATATTAACCGCAAATATATTACAACGGACAATAATAGGAACATTCCATGATATCTCCATCCTCTCACATTCTATGCATCAATGCCCAGCTTTGGAAATATGTCCGTTAAGGCCTGTATTTGTTTTACTGATGCTAACGACCCAGGGCGATAGGTGGACAAAGCAGGCCCATCTCCATCTCTAGGAAGGAGAAAGCTGTCCCAGCCAGCATTAATAGCCCCTTCGTAATCCTTTTCATAATGGTCCCCAATATGTATGCAGCTCCAATCTGTATCCTTCAATAGCAAAGATTCATCCCTCTCAAGGCATTTCTTTGCCCTCTCCTTGGCGAAATCGAAAATCTTTCGATGAGGTTTCTCTTCTCCTGCCTCATAGCTAGTAACGATAAAATCTATATCAGCCGGTGTGTTTCCATCCGAACCAGTCGCATCACTGGTAGGAACACCGCTAGCAATGTTAGTAGCGATCCACCCCAGCGGCCCAACACGTACCCCCAAACTTGACAAGATATTGGCATTCCTATCGTCAGAATTCGAAATAACACCTACAATCACCCTCTCAAATCCCCGAGAACCATCACTGGATCCATACAACCGTCTCCCCACTCTCCACCGCCTCATCCGGGTCATAAACGCTTCTACATCTGGATACAGCAAATATCCTTCCCGGCTCTCGAACCGTTTCAGCAACCTCTGGACGAGTTCCTCTGGGACCTCAATTTCAACATCAACCTCCGCCCTACCCACAGTCTTGCCCTTACTAGCTAGCGCATCGTCCTCCCTCGCAACCGTTTTAAAACATTCCCGTATCACATTACCCCACCACTCCCTTGGTCCACCAAAACCGACAACATTGCGGCCAAAATTTAGTCTCGTGGCACTCTCGTGCTTATACGCAGCGCGGAAGGCGGTTGAGATTTTCGCTGCGAGGTCGACAGTGGGGATATTGTTTCTGCAGAGATGTGGGGGGAAATCGAGAGATTGCGCGACTTGGGCGTATTGGATGGGCACCGGGAGGCGCGGGTGGAAGAGGGTGTGGAAGGCGTCGAGGGTGAGGAGGAGGATGCGCGGAGGCATTTGCTGGGGTTACAGAAATGGGACGGAAAGCAGTTGTGGGGAATTGGGGGATTAGAGACGATCTGTTCTAGATATTGTTGTGGTTACAATATAACGGAGTACGCAGGGAGTGGATTTGGTGCCGAGATGACCTATGCCACTTCCAGCGTAGTGCACAACCTTGTTTCGACAACCGCAGTTCCTATCAACATATCACAATGTATATCCATCTATATATCTCTGTATGTGTTTTGAAATCACCAGCCAGCTACGAACCTGGGGTTTGTTCAGGGAGACGGAGACCAACTCAGTGGAGCATCAGAGCAGTATACAACGGCAGCTATACGCTGAAATAAGCCGACTTGACAGTTACTCCTACTATCCCCCAGCAATGGTGGCCCCTGAGAGAATAAAGACAGCACAGCGCACGGAAGCTTAGAGCAAATGTGAGCGTGGTTTCCCATATACGGGCCAGGTGAATTCCCACGTAAAAACATGTGGATGCTAGGCGAACAAACAACGACCCTAGGAAATAGGTCAGACCGCAGCATGACCACTGTGTGCTGAATCCTTAAGACTCGTATACGAGATGGCTCCAGCTAATGTACGCGCCCCTGGAAAGCATAATCGTTTCCAGAAACTCCCACAGAACTGTGGCACCGTGTTGACGTGATGTAGACTCCAGAAAGGCGAAGTCACATTATAAATAGAGCCTCTCCCGCTGCAGGGATTGGATCAGTTTCGCGAACTCCGCGTTTTATCTTTGGGTCAACTGCTCCCTCGAGCGCTGCATCCCAGTTTGCAGCAACGCCGCGTTTTCACTTTCCTGAAAGGGGCGGACATGATTCCGACGTCGAGACCGACATTGGCGATGCTGTACCTCCATCCTCTGCCCTTGCAGACGTCGGTAGGCAGACAGGAGACTCGCCGTGTACGTATTCAAGGGAGGACGAGATACAAGATTCTAATAGCGATGAGGAGGAAATTCTATTCCATGACGACTCTAGTTCTTCCCCATTAATGGGATACACAGAAACTCAGAACGACGAAGGGGGGTTTGATGTTGATGCTGAAATCGATTCCATATTTCCCCCAACACCTGAAAGACGCAAGTCAAAACGTCGGAGAGTATCATCTCCTGCTCTTGACAACCCTAACGCAGATACAATCTCTTCATGTCCGTCTCATCCATCTGCATCTCCGTCATCGTCCCAACCTCACTCACCCGTCTCCTCTATCGCATCACCAACTATTCCATTCCGTCAAGTCATATGCCATGAGTCAGTTACCCCCCTGCTTCCATCAAGCACAGTCTATGGCCGGAGGCCTTCATCGCCTACCGAACAGCCCTATTTCCGTTTACATCATCATCATCAGCCTTCCTCATATTCCATATCTACTCCTGTCACCTCTTCATTCCAGATGACGCCAACTAGTGCGCCAACCCCTTCACAACGACGACAGCCGCACTTTATCTTCCCTTTGACCCATCCCAACCCCCCAGAGAATTTCCAAAATACCCAAAGCCTGGATAGAAGATCCTTTACCCCTGGTCGCACTAGACGCTCCATCTCCACCCCCCAAAACTGTGTACCGGGCGGCATGGCCGCCTCTGTCCGCGGCTGGCTGCTCGAAGCCGAAGCAGCAAAACATGCATCCCAATTCCACAGCACACAGACGAGCAGCACCCAGGGACCCAGGGAGATGAAAATGCTCCCCCCAGCACGACCAGTTAATTACTACCTAGTAGCTGAAGTGGTTGATATCCACCGTCAGGCGTCCTCCGACGTGTATACATCTGGCCATCCTGCTCCTGTGACGTTAATCATATCTACTCCTATAAGTAATGCTTCCACAGCTAGCGCGAGTGGCACCGCCAGCACAAGCGCCCATCGCACAGTGCCATCCGCAATTCGACAGGAGCCTTCATCGCGCAAAATCCTAGTATTTGGAGACCCCATCTCCACCCCATCACGCACGCAGAATCGCAGTATTTCTGACACTCCAGGGCAGCATCCACGCCGGAGTGCGTCATCATTTCAACCGACTCATACCGTGTCAAAGGGGGATAGAATAGGAATCCGTCGCGGGCTCGTGTGGGAGATGGAAATTGAAGAATTTGGAAGTAATAGGCCAACGAGAGAGGGTAGGGAAGGGGTGGATTGTTTCCTACATGTTGCTGGGAGTACCGATGAAACTCGGGGACAGGATGTCAGGGTGGAGAAGTGGGTGGTTGGTGTTGAGTGGGATATATTGTGACTCCCAGCTATGCGAAACAAGTGCAATTATGCTGTTATGACTTATCAGGGGTAAAATTTACCCTAGCCACGAGAGCATGCCATTCGCCAAGTGAAATCTGTATTACCAGCAGAGAAACAAACGGCTACAATGGATAGATGAGACCGAGTTGTATTGAAATTCCATTCATTCATCCATTCATGCCACTAGCAAAAATACTACCCCGTACAACCAGTGCCTTAAATTGAATACACAAAAAGGTAAATGATGTAACTAAGCAGGATACCCTTAAATCCAACAAGAACTTCACTCCCAACCCCCACCCCCTAGCAATCCCCTCAAAACACCTCCGGCCGGCCTCCCTCCGTTTCCCACTCCCTTCCCACTCTGGCTGTCCATTTTCTCCCCCCTCCTAAGCTCCCACTCTCTCTGCCTCTCCCTCGCCGCCGCGTAGTAGTTCACAGACCCCTTCTTCCCATTACCACCGTGCAACTGGACTCCCGCTCGTGATTCCGTCACTGACACCGCCAAGCCCGAGGCATACGTCACCGACGAGCTCGCCGAGGAAGAGGATGAAGATGACGAAGATGACGAAGACGTTGTTGCGCGTCGGATGAGGGGTGGTGGACGCTTGAAGAATGGCGTGCTGTCGTTGGCAACGAAGGCCTGACGGGTGCCTGAAGTTGCGGTTATTGTTGCAGGGGTTGAGGTGTTGGAAGTGCGGGCGGCGTTGGAGGATGCTTGTCTGCGGAGTGAGAGGCGGTCGACGACTTTGCCGCGCTGGCGGCGGCGGCGGTGGATGTGGTTAGTGTTTGAGCTTGTGTCGCTGGTGGTTGATTGAATAGGATTGTCGTTGCTGTCGCTATTGTCAGCGGGGAAGGGGTGGGTTTCCAGGTTATTTTCTTCATGCTGTTCGTCGGCGATTTCACCGTGTCGTGAATAGGCCTCTCCATCCATCTGCTCATCGGAGAGTAGTATATCCTCATCGGGTGGTTCTGAGGCATTAGAATCGACTCCATCAAGGAGGAAAGATACCGACTCGCGGATCTCAGCGAGCGTTAAGGGCTTCTTCCTGATCGCGCTCTCCGCTGTACGACGCATGTGCGACGGCGCACGATTCAGCATATCAGGACCCGACTGGTCAAGTGGGCGCTTGCGCTTGTTGTTGGCTATGGAAACATCGCCCTGCTCGGCAGAATGATCGTTCACTCCTACATGGTTTTGATGGCGGCCGATAATATTGTCCTGTGACGTGTCCTGCGAACTGCTCACATCTCCCCCTTCCATGAAATCCGTCATCTGCACATCACTATCCACATCCCTATCTTCGATAGTGCGCAAGAAAGCAGATTTTTTCGGATCCACTGCGATCTGCCCTATCTTTTCATCAGCCAGGAGAGCCTTGCGCATCTTGGCGAATTCCCTTCTCTTTGCACGACGGCGTGCTGCGAGACGTTCATCATCGGAATCGGAAAGATCCAAGTCGTCACCACCTGCTCCGCGCCTGCGCCGAAGGGCACCAGTAGTTATATCCCTCATCAGTTTATTGACTTGCTGTTCGTCTTGCTGTCTTGAATGAGTTCTGTAAATTTGATCCGGTTAGTCTAGTTTCCAATGAAGTATCCAATAAGGGGCAAACCGTACGCATTAAGTGCCGCCAACTCCTTCTCGTCAACCACCTCTCCACTATCATCATTAATCATACCAAGATCAATATCGTCCTCCTCACCAGCACTTTCATCACTCGCCCCTCCCAACCCCGCATATTCATCCTCAGACTCTTCAGCCACCTCATCAACAACATCGCGTGCCCTACTTTTCGACTTGTCAAAAAGGGTCTGAGTAGCCTTCTGCTTCTTCTTGATCACAGCCTTGCGCATAACATCAAAGGCGTCAGATTTGTTTAGGAACCCTTCATCATCATCGCTGTTTTCATCAACGTCAGAAAGATCGGCCACAGGTCCACGGCGCAGGAGCCTTCGACCAGCCCGTCGGGCAATTGGAGATTCTTCACCCGCAACTGGCACCGTATCAATGGCGGATGCAGGCACCAGTGCGTACGCATCAGTAAATCTCTTCCCTTGATCAAAAGGAGAATATACAAAGCCAACATCTTGCGTCGGTTCAGGGGCCTGGGAGTATGACGTGATCGTCCTAGCAGCAGGGGACTCTGACACCCGGTCCTCGCCATCGGCTTGTGGATAACTCGCAAACAAATCAAGCGGGACGGAATCCTGCCCTTGGCTGTCACGAACAATTTCCTGTGAGTCTCGCTCTAGCAGAAGTTGATCAACGGGGCACTCAGTATCTGGCATTCTGCGAAGCACGGCGAGAGAGTCCTCTTCGATATCCTGGCTATCCGCAAAAGTAGCACCGAATGCTTGCGTTAGGTTCATTAGTGGTGTCCGCAAGGCTCCAAGGTCTGGGATCAGAGGCTGGGAGGATATTCGGGCTGGTGTTTCTTTTGGGTTGGGAATGGCATCTACATCTCCATTTTCATCATCATCATCATCGTCGTCGCTAAGAACATTCCTTCGGTTTCTCCGTGGGAAATCCCCGCTTCTTCCATTTATTTGCGTATCGTCGAATTCGCTCCCTTCACATTCGCCTTCAGAGGCCTCAGCTTCGTCTGCCTCATTACGGATGAACCCGGTACCCTCATCTCTCTCATCAACGGACTTGTCGCCTTCTTCCAATGCCTCGTCTTCCTCTTCCTCCTCTTCCTCTTCCTCCTCTCCTTCTCCCTCCTCATCACTGACCGTAATGTCCTCTCCATCTTCTTCCTCGGACCCAGAAAGGCCCTCCGCCTCGTCCGCTCCCTCATAATCTTCATCTTCACTATCATCCACATCAACAACATCCACATTTTCCCCATTCTTTTTCGCCGCTTTCTTTTCCCTTCTCGCAATCTCCTCTGCCTCCCCCCTAGCTTTCTCCAGCAGGTCCTCAACCTCATCATTAACACGCTGACGTTCCTCCGCACTCTCAATAACAATTCCCTTGGCCCTCAACTCCTCAATCTTCTCCTGCCGTTCTTGTAACGCCTGCAGCCGTGCGCGTCGGAACAAGTCGCTATCCAGTTCACTGCGGGTCATCATGACTGTATGTCCGTGGCGCGGCGGAGATGTGAGCTGCGCTAGAGCTCTAAGTTTCAGTAATGTGGAGGATGACTGGTTATTACGCGCCGGAAGGTTCTCAAACACAGCGATGCGACGAGTTTTAGCAGGGGAAGTGATGATTTCCAAATCAGAATCGGCGTCATTCTTTTGACTCTCAGCGACCAATTGGCGGGAGAGACGGACACGGACGGGTCGAGTTGTTTTATTGGATACTTCTGGTGCTGGAGCAACGGAGGGCGCTTTCGATTGTCGCCGCTCCAGACGAGAGGGATCAACTTGTGCGTGAGAATCCCGCACGGATGCAGCGAATACTTCTGCCACGGATGGAAGATAAGGGTCGTCATCATCATTCGACACGTTAACTCCACTTCCGTTATCTTCGGCAGCCACCTCCAGGGGTTTGTCCTCCGAAATCCCCTCTTCCAATGGAGAAGTGGGAGGTGTGCTGCTATGCCTATGTTGACATTCCTCACGATCCGACGAAGCAGTTGCAGGAGTTGTAGTCGCAGTCGCATTCATCGATGAACTTCTGCTATTAAATTTAGCCAAAAAGCTATCTAGCGTAATCTTCTTCTTCGTCACAGCCCGGTGTGTCAGCTGCATGTTACGACTCATACGTTGAGTCTCGCGATTCATCTCCAGCAACGCCTTCTTACTTGCTTTTCGCGCAGAGGGGCGCGAATGTTGCGTTAACTTCCTCCCAGACTCCGAATCATCACCGTCGTCGCTGAGTCGATCAGCACTCAGTAGCGTTTCTTCTAGCTCGCTCGATCTTTGTAACCTGGCAGCTTTCTTCTCTGCCTCTAGTTGTTCGCGGGCTTCGCGTTCCTTTCGCTTCTTCTCAACGAGAGCCATAAGCCTATTATGGGCTTTTGACCCGATCCTCCCATCCTCATCATCCGTTTCCACGACATCCCGCATATTATCAGACTCTCTTTTCGCAATGGGAGAATCCTGAGAGACGAACAGGGGCGAAAATGACCGGTTCGAAACTATCGAGGCAGATCTCCGTCCGCGACTCGGACGGGCTCTCCTTGTGCTTGTTTGGACTTCATCGTCCGTCTCCATGGCTCCGCCCGTAATTGCATGAAGTCTGGGCGACCCCTCCGGTACAAAGAGGGGAGAATACGATCGACGCGACTCCATTGCTACAGCAGACACTCTCCTCCTTCCAGGTGCGCGAACATCTTGATCCTCCTCCTCATCCTCAGAAACCGGAGGGGGAACACCCTTATTACCCTTAATAATACCTTCCGGCTCTTGTATCAACCCTATCAAACCCCGCTCATGCGAGCTGTCCCTCTGGGACACAGCTGCACCCAGCTCCGCCGCTGACGCCTGCATCTGTGCCGCCATCCTTCCCTTTGGCTGCACAGGTAACTCCTCTTCCTCTTCATCCATAGAATCGTCATCATCCTGAGGATGATAAGTAAATGGTGTAAACAATGGCCTTGACACAGGCTTCTCTGTCTTCTCGCTGGCAGCATGATTGTCGCTGCTCTTATTAGGGCGACTTGAGTGGTTAATTTCCAGCCCCTTCTCCCGCTGCCCCTCCAAATCGGGATCAGAATCAGAATCAGAATCATACGCTGCCATAATGGCCCGAATCTTTGCGCCTGGCGTCAATATGGCAGGCGAATTGACGCCGGCATCATCGCTGTCATTTCCACCGTGCGCATCGCGGTCAGGTGTGATTGTGGACCGCGACGGGTCGCGAGTGGGAGTTGTATCGATTTCCATTCTACCAACTCCAATTCCAACTGCTACCGTAACCTAGTAGGAGGGGAGACAACGACGTGTAAACAAATTGCGACTGGGAGTAGGCTCTGGATTGTTCGACCCGGACTGGCGAACCGGCCTTCGCTGAAACCCGGAATTTAAGGGGGAAAGTATGGCATTCTAAGGCTGAGGAAAATGAAGGAGCCAATGGTATCTGTATTGACGAGTTAACTATGTCCGGAGAACGAAAGTCCACGCACCCACATATATGGTCGTTGGGTGGAGGAAGTTGAAATCTTCTCGATCGATCATCCAACGCGATGACGCGCCGTTTCCGCGACGGAAACACGCTAGGGCTGCTGGATCTTATCTTATCGATAAGGAAGCTTGGCATTCAGCCACAGGCATGCTCACGTGATATCAACTGATCTCGATCAAATGGAGAAGCCTCATTCCAGCAGACGAGCATCAATTAGTCTATCTATCTACGCATAACGGGGGGGAACAGGGACAGAAGGTAGCGACAATGGAGTTCCCAAGCATAGAGGAAAAGCCTTCTTGAATAAAAGACAAGAAATACAAATTCGCAAGCAGACACCGCATTGTCCCATGTCTTCCAAACCATTTCGCCCTTTTCCCATTTCATTCCTCATCCTTCCATGTTTATACTTATTTTCCTTCCGGGAAAATATTTTCCAATTGGAATTCCAATCCGCTTTTATTAGTCCCGCATATGGACACCCAGAAGCCCATCTCACGTCCCCTAGTCGAGAAGCCAAGCACAAGAGCAACACACCACAGCTAAGTTTTGAGGCGAAAAGCTTGGTTCGCGGAGGAACAAAGCAAAACATTATCGAGTAAAAAAAAAAAAAAAAAAAAAAACCGTGAAGTGAAGATGAGGATTACCAAACCAAAGACATCAGGAGCGAGCCGAAAAAGACTATCAACAAAGCTTGCTGGGGACGAGAGTAAAGGAAGTAGCGGGCAGAAATACAGAGTAGATAGAAGCATACGTAAATTGAGGCCGAGGAAAGGGGGAAAGTGAAGGATAGGAAAGTAAGAAATTGAAAAGGACCAGGCGCCGTAAAAGAAAGAAGGAAGAAAAGAAAATGAGAATGAGAAAAAGCAGGAAAGGTGGGAAGGGAAAAAGAAAGGAAGCATATACCGGCAAAAATCCTATGTATCCGCATGAAAACTATAAACCCGATCGAAGCGCAAAAAAAATGATAATAATAACAAAAAGAAGAGAGGATAAGATAAGACAAAAAATGAAAACAACAAGTAAACTTGGAACGCTATGTACTAACGGGCTTTTTTTGTTTAGCCATGTGTTTGTCGATGTAAGGAAGGTAGCGTAACGGAGGTGGAAAAACAGAACTTGGCGTACGAGGGACTGGTGGCTCCAGGAACCGCCGCACACAAACGAGGTAAGTAGACAGCTGGGCCATAATAGAGCAGCCGTTTAAATCTCGATATCAATTTCAAAATCCAACGCTGCGATGTTTTCATCATCTGTCGGTCGATGGCGGATAACTGGGACGCCCCCTTTGCGCGCTACTTTCGTCGAATCACCCACACCTTTCGTACTAGAAGGAGTCACGCTCCTTCCATTCCGTGTAGGCGTGCTTATTTTATTTCCATTAGGCGTGTTTGCGCCGGTTATGGGTGTAACGGGGCGACTCATATCGCTCCCTCCTCCGTCCTCTGCGCCCTTCGGCAGAAGCCGGTTCCCATGAACGTCATAATGGGTTCTCGCCTTCGTCTTCACACGCGCGAAACGGTTGGCAACAGCTTCACCACGCGCAACAGCAGCCGCAGCAAGTCGTTCACGCCGCCGCTCCTCAAGCTGCGCACGCCGGACATTTTCGGCATTGAGTTTCTGGTTGCGTCGGTTTAGTTCTTGCAGGCGTTCCTGCTGCGTCTTCTCCGTCGAGCGGGGTTTAACAAGAGTTGTGCCGAAGGCCAACTTGGGCCCCGTAAAACGCTGCAGTTCAGCATCACACTGGGCAATGGCGGCTTCGTCACCAGTTGCAATCGCTTCTTGACGCCGCTTCTCGAGCTGGATACGTTCAAATATTTTCATCTTGTTATCATTGGTTCCCTGGCGACGAAGTTTTTCTTCCAGCTCCTCCTTTGTGAATTGGTGGTTGATGAGCCGGTTGATATCCGCGACCTTGTTGGCAACCATGGACTTGGTGGCCATCTTGCAGTCTTCCACAGCCATGGTTTGCCGGTAACGGTTGAATTCGGCCTATTTAGATACATATATGGAATTAGAATGCATTTGCATAGTTAAAATATTGCTCAAACAGGATCTATACCTCAGTGATTGGAGAATCCGAACACGCGATGAAAGGGAATTCCTTTTCCGCCTTGCCATGGGCAAGAACGGCATATTGAGTGGTGATGAAACTTCTGCCATTAGGCGCTTCCATGGCATAAGGTTTACCCTCAGTGAATTCTAGCAAATGAAAAGACCAGGATTAGCATGGAGTGAAAACACATGGACACAGGAGCAGAAAAACGTACTTTTTATCGAGCAGAGTCGGTACTCATTCTGTTGTGATTCCTTATTTACTCCGATAACAACACGAACGTAACAGTTGGAAATAGCACTGTCGAAACCCGGATAGAAGCAAACCTGCGCAAAATTACTGCGACCAACGCGAGCACGCTGAATATCCCGCAGTTCAGCTAGAGGATCGTCCCGGGGCACAGAGGGCGATCGACGACGCGGTCCCTCATCCCATTCAACATCGCTTTCGCCATTTGCATCCCGGTCCGAGAGCTCTCCGTCAGTCGAACCGCCAGCTCTATCTTTCTTTCTCGAACTCGCATCCCGTCGACGCTGCTCGTCTCGTTTACCCTTCTGCTCACGCTGGCGCTTGTACGCTTCGATGGCATCAGAGGTTTCTCCAACCTTGCGACCTCCCAAGGTAGTCTTCTGTCGCGAACTCTTGCGCTGGCTCTCTTCTAGGTCTGTAGCTCCGGCTTTGCGTTTCTTCTTCTCAGCGGCACGAGCCTCCTCTCGTTCACGAGAGGCGAGGAGACGTCGGAGAGCAAGATCTTGGTTATGGCGGTCAACTTGCTGGGCTCTTTCGGATAGGAGTTCCTCGCGTTGTATTTCTGGCAGGGCCATCACCTCGGCCTTGTCCTTGGCGGAATAGAACAGTTTTTCATAAGGAAAAATGGGACCCTGGTCACCGGGAGGCGGGGAAACGTCGTCGGAATCGGATTCAGACATGGAGGCAGACCGTAGAGACGTGCGAGATCGTGAGGAAGAGGATGAGCTAATTGCATGTGCTGAAGTTAGCATATTTGCTGGGTCTGTGATTGTCGGAGAGAGGAACACAATGAGTAGGTAGAGATAGCAATGCAAGACAAGATAAATAATGACCAGTGAATAGGCAGTTCAATATAAGCAAATAATGCATACAGCTCTGCACCATCATCATCCTTATCACCGGCATCTCTTGTCCTCTTTGTGCGTGCAGAGGACTTCCCACTCCTCCTGCCTGATACCTCACCACTCTCTTCCCCAGAGTCACCTCCGCCTGCTTCGCCGGGCGAGCCACGCTTTGGCTGAGCGGCGGTAGCTTCCTCGTCGGAGGAATCATCCCCGCCGGCCAGCGCCAGGATTTCCGCGTCAATATCCGACATATTCGAAGGCAGCTGCGAACTTCAGCTGAAGCGGCGAAGCGGGATGGGCCAGAGAAGCGGCGATCAGCGCGTGGGAAAGAAGTCGTCTCTGGAGATCGCGGTACGGGATTGATTCCTGGGAGACACAGAATACAATGTGTATATGATTGTATAGAGACGCGGACAGCTAGAAATAATGTGCCTCTGGACAAAGGGGAGTGTCAATCCCGTCTGCGATGGTGAATGTAGTTAAGCTAGTCACCACCAGCCAAACAGCCGGTGGGGCAGGAAAACGGGGTTGAGAAAATTCAAGGGCAATAATACAACGCGTAGATCCGGTTCATGCGGCCAAGGCAAATGGTCGTAGATGCGTGAACCCGGAAACAAGTCGCAGCAGTCAAACTCTTCTTGCGGCGTCGAGTCTCGCTGTCGCTCTTTCATGACGTTTCAACGGCGAAGGTAACTGCTGACTAAACGCCTTCTCGATGCGGTTTAGTGCCACTCTTCAAACCCGCCTTTCGCAGAGCCTCAACTTCAAGTTTGTATACAGATCTGTACAGATCACAAGAGTATATATAGTACGTGGTGTTAGAGAGGCAATTGGCGCTCAGGCAGTGCCCCGCTATATCTACGGTGGCATCCCATATGTTATGCGCCCACAAAGCTGCAATGGACTCTGTTCCTGCTCTCAGGATGTCATTGTCTGTCTGTAGACGATCTGTTCGCACTCCGTCATATTCATATTCTCCCTATGTCGTCCAGGGCTGGCGAATCCAAATCCAACACCAACACCAACACCCACACCAACAAGCCCGCCGCAACATTTTCCCGACCCCAGCTACGTCTCGGAATGTGCACTCAAGCACAGGCAATCCCACTCAAACCACAGCAAGCGGCGGCGATGATAACCCGCCCAAAAAGCGCATGGTCCTCACCCAAGCACAGCGGGACTACCTCGACAGCGCTCTCAGAGTAAACCAAGCCGGTGAACTCGCCGCAACCCTCATATATGCTGCTCAGACACCCCTAGTCACCCGCTCCAATCCAAATCTCCGCCCCCTGATGAAACACATGTACGACCAGGAAGCTGGGCATTTCACAACCTTCAACAACCTCATCGCCAAGCACCGCGTGCGTCCTACAACAATGTATCCCATCTGGGAAATAGCCGCGACAGCCCTCGGATGGTCGACGGGGAGGATGGGCCGGGAAGCGGCAATGGCATGCACAGAGGCCGTCGAGACGGAAATCGGCACGCATTATAACGACCAGGTGCGGGAGATTTTGGGCTGGTTTGAGGATGCTCGGGAGCGCGGGGAGGAGCCAGATGAGGAGCTGGCAGTGCTGGTGCGGACGCTGAAGCGGATTCGGGATGAAGAACTGGAGCATTTGGATCATGCCGTGGAAAATGATGCGAAGGAGGCCAGGCCATATGATCCGCTGGTCAATGTTATCCGGTTAGGGTGCAGGGCCGCAATTCAGATCAGCCAGCGGGTATGATATGATATGAAGTGCCGGTTTGGATATGTATTCATATCCGTATTCACTGCCATCACGTACCCTTGCGGCTTGTGCATTTGTGCTGCTGCTGCTGTTGTATCCACAGAACCCATTACAATTTCCCGAATTCGTGGTTGTTCGCGGAAATTTGTCTTGACCAGCAAATTGCAGGCTATGCATCTGGGTCCAACTTACCTTCCAGCACGCCTCTACAAATCAAGGTGTAAAGCGAGCGTCCTCGCTCACAGGGTCCCTTCTGCTGGTTGCAAATCAACTAGCCTTCGCCGAGCAAATGGAGACGCCCTCAGTTCGACCCTTGTACTTTGTCTTCCTCTCGATCTATTATTTAACACTCCACACGACACGGCGCTCACATTCTCCTTGTGACATATTTTCTCCTCTCCTATATCACATATCCTAACGGTATCGCTTCGATCCAGTGGCGCATTGCAACCATAAACTCTTTCGTACACGCGTCCCGTCTGTTCGGTTCCATGTATGTATTCTCTATATTCAACATTTACCACTCCATCCGTTGTGTAAATAGATCGCAAGAGCCGAGCTTTGTTACTACCAGTCTCTCATCCAAGCCACGTTATCTAATGATACCCTCTGTGCGATCACTTCCCGCCTATGATCGTCAACAAGGTTTGAAGTGACACTATATCCCTGGCCATTGCGCTGAGATGTATAAACATATTCCATACAGAAGAGTGTAAGCTAAAGCTCTATCTCTCTATCTAGAAGGTCGTTAAAGTGTTTAAGTATGTAAAAGCCGCAACAAGTACAATGGAGAAAATATAGGGAAAACATAATCACTCACGCAAAGGGCAACGCCAAGTATAAGCTCCATATCCCGCCGCAGGATCAAATCATAGAGAGCTAGCTATGCGTATCCCAATGGTAGCTAATTAAGCATATGTCTAAGCAATCCCCCATCCGGTCATCAAGCCCAATGGCGTGCCCAAGATGACATCCTTTCCCGCAGTAAAACCAACAATCAAAGACACATAGTCCACATCAATCAATCAATCAAGCCCCCGCGCCCTTCTCTTAGCCTCTCTGGCAAGAAACTTCAAAAACCCCTGGCAAAGCCTCACAAGCTGGGCATAAATCACCTCAAACCCTTCTTTGCCTCCATAATACGGATCCCCCACCACCTCCCCCTCGCCAGGCCTCGCCGTCACGCTCCCATCAGACGAGAAATCGCCAATGAGCCTGACCTCCGCAATTTTCGCCCCTGCCCCTGCCCCCGCAGCCTCCGCCTCCGCATCGTCTTGGCCACTTTGTTTGTCACCCCGAACAGCCCGCCGTCGCTCGTACGCTAGGTTCTCCAGATTCTCGCTGTCCATCGCGAGTATGTAGTCGAAGGCGAAGAAATCCTGCTTCTTGATCTTGCGGGCGGCGTGGGTGTAGGTGGTGATACCGTGGTTGCGGAGGGTGGACATGGTGCGTGGATCCGGCGGGGAATTGGTGTGGTATGCGCCAGTGCCGGCGGAGTCGATTGTGGAGAATGCTAGCTCGGGGGGCGCAGCGGTGGTTGTTATCTGGTGGCGGAAGATGGCTTCGGCCATGGGGGAGCGGCCTGGTAAACGGGCCCCGGAAGGGGTGGTAATGTTAGCTGGCTGAGTTATGGGAAGTAGCGAGGAGATTTTGGCGGGATGGTAGGGGCGTACAGATATTTCCAAGACAGACGAAGAGCACTGAGATGGGCTTTGGCTCCGCCGGGTTAGCCGTGGTGGGGTTTGTCGCGGCCATTTTGGAGGTGGCTGACTATGGGATGTCTGATTTCCTGAGGTATGGAGCACTGCGAGGTTCCCTCGTGTACAGTAAAAGCGGTAGCTATGTGAGGTTGGGTTGCTGTGTATGATCGCGGTGAGGGGAGCAAATGCTGGTAGCCGCGGGGAAATTCATCCCCGCCGCCGTTATCTTACCTAGGTATCAATGAGTGTTGTCAAACAGCACAGCAAACTGGTGATATCCAGCAAAGGCACCACTTGCTGAGTACTCAAGAATTCATGCAGTTGCTAGAATTATTATCTAAGGATTGTCGTAGTGTTTCAATGATTAATATGATAAATAGATTTAGAATAGAGTGTAGTTATATAAAGCTAAAGGAGTCCTCTGAGTTTCGACCGAGATCAGAGCACGAGCCGGTAAGTCAAGTCGATCGTTATTCTGCTTCGAAAGGCTGACGCATTCCGTTTTGTTCGTGTCCATATGTACATGTACATACATAGATGTATAGAGGCGCAGAGTGGTTACCTTGCCGCGAAATATCAACTCCTCCATCAGCGACGGAGGAATTGACCTCAGAAATCATCTGCCGATCAAATGGCTGCACCACCTCCTCCTCTGATCAAATTCGAGCCACTGGACACTGGGGGTTTGGCAGCTGGATGCTTGAGTTATTCGGCCAGTTCCTGTCATGGCTTAACCATGGCGGAGCACCCTGGCATCTATATCATGGAGCACGACCTTGGCTGTGAATACTAGTCCCCGGCTTTTTCTTTGCATCCCTATAGCTTGGTAATCACTACCACTGTCTTTAGCCACTTCCCTGGCAGCCCTCTTCTCAATCTGGTGACTTGGCGCTTAGTTGTAGTAACCCATCGCGTTTTGTCCATTGCTCCTCTCTCCCCAGACACATTCGCAGCAGTTGGCTTTGTCTATCGAGGGATCGATCATCACTCCTCTCCAAGTCTCTGATAAGGATAATAGCAATGATTATCCTTTGCGGGAGTGAAAATGATATAAAAAGATGGCCCTTTTGACTGTGCGGTCCGCATTTCTTTGGTTCTTCCCTCTCTCTTCCCCCTTCTCCCATTTCCTTCTTGGGGCGAAACACAAAGCACACTCACCATTTCCCGCCCATTAGGCCACCATTGACATCACGACGGTGGGCAACATGCGTGTTGCCCATTCACTCCTATGGATGCATAGCCTAACCCTTGACACTGCACGGTTTCTGCGATCTAGAATATCAGGGCGCATATTTAGGAAGGGGATGGGATATGACATTTTTCTGCATAGCACAGGCACTGCTTAATCCAATGCTTTCCATTCTGCCCTCTATCTGATAGGAATCAACATCTGCAGCCACAACTCACGTCTTGAACATGAAGTGAGTGGCTGAGAATATTCCTCGTCGAATACATATAGAAATTCAAACCTGGTAGCATTACCATCACATTCCAGGCCTGAGAATCAAATATGAGGGGGGGATTTAAAAAAAAAAAAAAAAAAAAAAAAAAAAAAAAAAGAAGAAGAAGAAGAAGAAGAAGAAGAAGAAGGTACCAAACAGCTTTCATGAAGCGAATGCCGACCATCCAACGCCCACAAGCCCCGACACTTTCGATATCTTGGAATGCGCCGTGAGCCGCCATCGGATTCCTCATCGTCTGAGTTTCCTCGACAGGCTTCAAAGTGGACGCTCCACTTTTGTTTTTACCCATGTGCGGTTCGGACGATGCGTCAGAGCCATGCGCACATCCATAGTTAGGAGAAGTTGGAATCCCGGGTGATTTTCTTTCAAGGATGGTAGTGCATCCACCATATCCTTTGAAAGTTGAAACGCAGTCCACTCATAGTCCCTCTTGGCCGTCTGTGGTGTGGCATGGCATGACCATAGTGCCAAGCCGGCCAATCCACCAGCCACGATGGCTGACGACTTCCAAGCGCTGGAAATTTATATGGGAATGGAATCCGGCGACTCTCGCCTTCAGGGATGGATCTCAGTGCCAGCCATACACGGAGTAATAAATTCATAGTTTTCTACGGATCTGTAAATAATTTCCGCATGCAAGGCCGAGTATCCGCTACGCCCAATCCCAACACTCCTGCGCTGGCCGGAGCTGTTATTTTTAGCCTGAAGCAGACCATCCCTGCAGCTAAACATTTGTTTGAGTCTTTGTTAGCTGGTGCTCTCGGTTGGTTCAACTTGGTTGACTGGAGTCTGCCCATCATCCGGCGTCGTTGCGACAACCCTCGCTTTGGCAGCTTGGCCTGCATCGCGCTAAATAACCAGCCGTGCCAACTGCTTGCGTCAATCTTCTTTTTAATTTTTATTTTTTGAATGCTTCGAGTGTCTGATATGTCCTGTTGTTGGAATTGAAATCAGTAGCTATCTTTTCGGAAGTAATCCATCTTTATCTCATCGATAAGTTTCCGCTCAATAACTACCTAACCGACGAGGCCCAGCACACGAAACCTTGTCTCGTCAAGCTAAGGTTCCCCCCGTTCGATCCCCAGTACCCGCTCCAAAGTGCCAACCCCGAACAAGAGAATCCAGAAAGCTAGCTGCCTTGTCGCCAGAGATCAAGGGATAGAGTAGAGGGAGGGTGAAGAGAGAGCAGGATGTCGTACAACCGACTTGGTCAGTCCATATCCCTCTCCGGCGTTGCTGTCTCCTGTGGTTGTTATTGTTGCCATGGTTGCTGTTGTTGTTGTTGTCGTTGGTGGTGGGGGGATAAGCTCCGCAAGCAACCCCTGGTTCGGTGGTTCCTCGCCGTCCAACGTCACCAGCAGAGCCGCGCAACCATTCCGAGTTCAAAATCTCACGACGTCACCGTAGGGTGATGTTGACTCCCTCAACTATCCCCCATCCACTCGCTGCTGTCTCCATCAGCTCTTCATTCGTTTGATTGAGCGTCTCTCGTTCCATGCTGTTACTGCATGACTTTCTTGCCCCTCGTTCACTTTTACCCTGCATCATCTATCATCATCTGTTGCCCTTAGCCAAGTACTATCTTTTGCCAGTGGAAAGCACCAGGCGTGGAGTACCCGAAGCTGACAATCGCTCAATTCTAAGACCCTTCGCAGGACGATGATCCTCATGATCTCGGGATGAATCCAAATTGGCCGGACCCCAATCGCATCCCGTCGCCGGGCAGGCCGTTTCATGGCTACCAGTTGGAGGACACTCCATCCAGGCCATATGGACGCCTGGAAATGCCTTCAGCAGACCGGCTGGCTGACCAACCAACTGTAAACCACCCACACGCTTATGGATATATTTGTGCTTCCAGGCGCCGTTGATTCAGGGCACATGCTGACTGGTTTGCCACTTATACAGTACTCGGTAGAGAACATAGACAACTCCTACGGCCATAACGAAGCCTACGAAATTGCCCACCCGTATCGACATTCCCCTTTTATGCGCACAGAATATTCAATTTCACCCGAAGCTCATCATGACGCATACTACACCCAGCCATACCAGCCCACTGCCTCGCCATCCGATTATGAAGGGAGCCACATTCCCTCTCAGACTCCACGGCCCTATCAGGACGACGAGGTGCCCATTTTGCATCAACGACATGATTCATACGGCCCAAATTCTGGGTTGACGGCATTTGACGAGGCTGCCATTGCTCCTACTCCCAGCCCCGCACCTATAAGAAGATGGAAGACGGTGAAGGAAGTCCAGTTGTTCAACGGCAATTTGGTCTTGGATTGCCCCATCCCACCGAAGCTGCTGAGCCAGGTAAACCATGCAGCACCCCCCGAGCGCGATGAATTCACCCATATGCGCTACTCTGCTGCGACTTGTGACCCAGCCGACTTTTACAATGAGCGTTTCACACTTCGTCAGAGGCTATTCGCAAAACCCAGACACACGGAACTGTTCATTGTGGTGACCATGTACAACGAAGATGACTTCCTCTTCGCAAGGACTATGATTGGCGTATTTAAAAACATCGAGTACATGTGCTCGCGAACCAACAGTAAAACTTGGGGTAAGGAGGCGTGGAAAAAAATCGTTGTCTGCGTTGTCAGCGACGGACGTGCCAAAATCAACCCGCGAACTAGGGCTGTCTTGGCTGGGTTAGGCGTTTATCAAGATGGAATCGCCAAGCAACAAGTCAATGGCAAAGATGTTACTGCACACATCTACGAGTATACAACGCAGATAGGCATGGAACTGAAAGGCAACCAAGTCCATCTGAAGCCGCGGTCTGGAGTCCCTGTTCAGATGATTTTCTGCTTAAAGGAGAAGAATCAAAAGAAGATCAACTCCCATCGATGGTTCTTCCAGGCCTTTGGTCGCGTTCTTGATCCCAATATCTGTGTGCTTCTCGATGCCGGAACCAAACCAGGGAGGGACTCTATCTACCACCTGTGGCGCGCTTTCGACTTACAACCCATGTGTGGGGGCGCCTGTGGGGAGATTAAAGCCATGTTATCCCATGGAAAGAAGCTGATCAACCCCCTGATAGCTGCGCAAAATTTCGAGTACAAAATGAGCAACATTCTTGACAAGCCACTGGAATCCTCTTTTGGGTTTATCTCCGTGCTTCCCGGCGCGTTTTCCGCCTATCGATATGTGGCGTTGCAGAATGACAAAAATGGCCAGGGACCCCTGGAGAAATATTTTGCTGGCGAGAAGATGCACGGCGCAAACGCTGGCATCTTCACGGCGAATATGTACCTGGCAGAAGATCGGATCCTATGTTTCGAACTCGTCGCCAAACGCAACTGCCAATGGATCCTACAATACGTCAAATCATCCACCGGCGAGACTGATGTCCCTGACCGAATGGCCGAGTTTATTCTCCAACGCCGTCGTTGGCTGAACGGAAGTTTTTTCGCAGCTGTCTATTCCATTGCACATTTCTATCAGGTCTTCCGGAGTAACCATAGCGCTACACGGAAATTCATGTTCATGATTGAATTCATTTATCAAACGATTAATATGTTATTTGCTTGGTTTGCTATTGTAGGTTTTTTTCTTCCTCCTTCTATAGGGGTGATTTATTGATGGTCAAGCACCTGTTGACCCCTTCCTTAGGGTAATTTCTTCCTAGTCTTCCACATCCTCACCAAGTCTCTCGGTGCCGCAAGTCTGCTAGGAAACGCTGGGCGCATCCTCGGAGTGGTATTCGAATGGCTCTACCTCGCAACGCTCTTAACATCCTTTATACTGGCTATGGGAAATCGGCCCCAAGGTTCGAACAAGTTCTACATGACCATGGTCTATTTCTGGATTGGGATCATGATATATCTCACATTTGCCGCCATTTTCATAACCGTGAAATCGATCCAGGCCGAGACGATGGATGGCAAATTTAGCTTGTCGTCAATTTTTAGTAACCACCAGTTCTTCTCTATGATTGTGTCACTCATGTCGACGTACGTGCTGTGGATTGTTGCGTCGCTGCTTTTCTTTGATCCTTGGCATATGTTAACCTGCGTAAGAAAACCCATCGTTTCCTCTACTCCCAAAATGAAAATCACTAACTATACTAGTTCCTTCAATATATCCTCCTCACCCCAACATACATCAATGTCCTAAACATCTACGCCTTCTGCAACACCCACGACATAACTTGGGGCACCAAGGGCGATGACAAAGCCGAGAAACTCCCTTCCGCTAACCTAAAACCCTCAGGAAAAGTCGACGTCGCCATCCCACAAGACGATGGCGACTTAAACGCCCAGTATGAAGCCGAGCTAGCCAAATTCGCCTCAAAGCCGCCCAAGGAAGTACGTGCATTCTCTGACGAGGAAAAGCAGGAGGACTATTACCGCGGTTTCCGGTCCGCGGTGGTTCTTGTGTGGATCTTTTGTAACTTTGCGCTTGCGGCAGTTGTGCTGAGTGCAGTAGGGTTGGAGAGGATTAATCCGGACAATACCTCTGGGGAACAACGGAGTACGATTTATATGGCTGTGGTGCTGTGGAGTGTTGCCGGATTGTCACTGTTTAGGTTCGTTGGGGCAATGTGGTTTTTGATTACAAGGCTGGTGAGTTTTGGTCTTTTCTTTTCCTTCCCTACTTTTCGCACTTTACTCCCTTGTTGCGCGTTATTCCCCTATCCTCTCCATTTTCTCACATTGGGAGTCCACATATGCTAACTGCGCGGTCTCTTCCTTTTCCGGTCAAATTATAGTTCCGTGGTGTGTGAGAAGGCAGCACCTTCTCTCTCCTCCTTTTCAGGTCTTTATTATGCCTTTATTTCGCAAGCGAGAAAGCGGAAACTACATATACCCACGCCAACACCCTCAGGTCATCCTCCCTACAATCTCCTCTTTCCCCCTTTCTTCCACATCTCTACCTCCTGTCTTCCGCTTAAGACATCACCACGATAAAACAGCCACGCAACAACCACTGGTTCCATATTTCTTTAATTTATGTTTATTCTGAGCGAAACGAAAAATTAATAACGAAATTTGACCCAAAAAATCAATACTACACCCCTCGCGCCAATGCCACATCGCCGCATTAGTTAAACCTAGTGCTTTTGTTACGCCGATTTTACTCGACAATTAACCCCACCCCTCGCCTGAGTTCTTGGGGCGGTTTGGTTTCTGTTTCCTTTTTCCTTTTTTTCTGTCGTTGTGAGATTATTCCCCCCTCCCTCCCCCTCGCCCCCTCCTTCTTGTTCGGAAATGTGATAGATCTACAACGGCGATATGTTAATCATAGAATCAACCGTGGGCGTCTATTATCTCCTCTTTGTTCTTTTGTTTGTGACGATATCCCCAACACGCAGATATATATGTATACCTCGCCTCTTTTTCCAGGTTTTTACTCATTTCGTTTTCGGATATTACTTTTTTCTATTGTTGATTTTCCCTGATTTTGTCTCGTTTTTTATTCTCATTTTTCGTTTTTTTCTGTTCCTGTATCTCTATTCATGATATATATATGCATGTATGAAATATGTCTGAACGAAATATGCTGTTGTATGTTGTGTGGAATGTGAAATGAGGGTTCTCCTTTAATGTTAATATCCTTAACGATACTCATGTCTCACGTCTCTACCTTCATCCTACATATATATAGAATGATAAGTATGAGTGCGAGAGAGTGTGCATATATCTCTTCTCTCTCTTTATTATAGAAAAACCAACTTTTTCCATTAAAAAAACACTGTAATGTGACCTCACATGGCCTCATGTGCATCCCATCAAATCCATCCACCATCCAGCCAGCTCTGTGATCAGTAAAATATCATTGCTAGCTATCATTTCTATTGCTACATATCATCGCTACATATCATTGCTATATATCATCGCTAGCTATCATTGCTATATATCATTGCTAGCTATCATCAATATATACCATTGATAGATATCATTCATTCAAGCAGATGAGCAGATAAATAGACAGATAAACAGTCAGACAGTCATCTAATAAATCAGTATTATTAGATAGATGAGTAGAAATGATGATGTTTATTCTTATAGAGATTGATTGAATATTAAGCAGCTATATTGATTGAAAGATAGAGAGATGAATAAATAGATAGCTATCTAGCTAGCACTCTTAATTCTATCAGCAATTGACTGAATATCATACATGAAATTAGACAGATAGTTAGTATTCTCTGTCATCAATAGTTAATTCAATATTAAATAGATACAATTATAAATCAGTATTTTAAAAAAATTAAATATTTACTGTAGATTTATATATTCAATTATTTCAGTCATAAAATAAAATAATATCTGATTCTTTAAAAGTTTTATATAATTCTTGGAAACCTCATTTTACTCTATCTAATAAGCTATTTGATATTATAATAATACTACAATATTATTCATTCTTTTCATCTATATAATTATTCTTTATTAATAGTTATAAATTATATGAAATTCATCTATACAAGTCATATACAGCTACTTATATATCTCATTTTGTTCATTTGAAAGATTAAACAGTGCATTTTCAAGCTGAATAAGCGATCGCAAGCGAGTGATTGCGGCTTGTACTGTACTATCCACATGCCAAAATATCTGTGTATTACAACACTATTGAAGGGGCTTCAAAATTTCTGAAAGATTAGGTTGGAGAATTTGTATGTAGTATGTAACGTGATCACCCACCTAACGATCGCTATTTTGCATACTAAATCAAGAATGCTTAGATACATAAATCTCAACAATAACCCTATCAAATTTATATATAATATGTAATTTATATATGTATATCTACATAGTAGATTATACAATTTTTAGATACTAAAAATCTGCATTATGTATTGAGTTATAAAGTGTATTAGCAGTTGATTTTATTAATAAATTACATATATAAATTATATGAGATGTATTCAGATTACTGTATTGTTATTAATAGAACTATTCAATATTTTCAATTAAATTCTAACAGCTGTTAAAAAATTATATAATTAATTTAAATTTCAATTTATATATAAAAAGACTATATATTAAGAAAGTTATTTAAATATTACAGAAACTAGCATTTTTCTCATAGAAATATAAAAAATACAGCTAGTTAAGGTAGTTATAAGTTTTAGTTGGGCAAAGCTCAAAAAACTTTCACAACTCCAACTTTGAACCCCTGCCCGTGATTAAATGTTTGAAAGAAGCCCACTGACAAGATTTTCCAGCCAAAGATTTGAACCTCAAGCCCGTTCAACTGCTCTCCCCCATATCACTGGTGAGCACTTTAGTGCAAGAGATGGAAGAAACAGCGGAGTTAGACGGGGTCAGCCCGGCCGAGATTGTTTTTAAAGAGAAGCTTTTTGCATCCGACAACTCTGAAATATTCCTTGTGACGGTTCGAGGACAACAATGTGTTATGAAAGTGGTGAGCAAATATCATCATCGTCATCACCATCATCCTCAAAATTAACTAACTGCCATTCGGTTGATTGATTGTGAATTCGACGGCATGCAGGACGAGGTCCAAGACGCTACTATGAGCGCACTGACCGTGAGCAAGATATCCATGTCCTTGAATCAACAGCTTACCGTCGCCTGAAGGCTTGGGGCCTCTGCGACAAAAGGATCATTCCTCGATTTCTAGGGACCATTGACAAGTTTGATCCAAGGGCATGTCAACCTCATCTGAACATGTTCCTGGAAGACGAGTATCCGCCCAGTGCACTATTCCTAGAATACATTTCCAATCTTGAAATGCTTCATCTGCACAACTACACAGAGGCTCGCATGGACAATTTTATTGAGGGGCTACGTGAAATACACAAAGCGGGGGTTTTACACCATGATGTAAAGCCTCGGAATATGCTTATTGTCAAGGATGACCCCAACCCTGACCGGGTTGTTTGGATTGATTTTGACCGGGCACAGACCTATGATATACACCTGATGACGGAGCGGCAGAAGACGTTCATTGCTGAGGAACAAGAAATAGTGGAATCGTACAAAGTGCTTATGGTATGTGGATTACCATTTCCCTCCTGTCATCAATTCGCATGGACTGACTTTGCTAATTTTACAACTTAGGAAGAGGATGTTCGAGTCGGCAAACTGGACCAAATGTATCTTTTCTACTGCACTTAACTAGCTTTTCACTCCTCCTCATCATTCAAGTATAATTATAGGTATAGAGATAAGCATGCAAAGTTCCTACCTTACGGATAGAAGAGTGAAGCTGTGCTATATGACAGGCTCTGAGGTCCAAGGGCCTTTTTGCAAATTGAGCTAATCTCAGTGATACTTGAGAGCTGGGGCAACAAAGAGTTACACTTCAATCACAACCATCAAGCGATCCTATACCGCAGAACATTTTGCTACTCACTAGGTAACAAAAGATAAGCTTGAAGGCATCGTCAAGTTCATCAGGCATTGTTAGGGTGAGCATACCGTGTCCTGTTCGCATGGCCCAGCTGCGAACAGAGGACGATAAGGTCGATTGGCGCGAAGCACTCAATGTCGTTCTTTTCCCCCGCTGAATTGTATAGTGCGTACTTCACTGATTTAAGTACCGCCAGAGTTTCGCCTTGCGCAAGGTAACCTTTCTAAAGTATATAGCCTTCTACCATGAGCCTTGTCTGAGTGGTGGTCTAACCGTCACCCTTTGGACCGGCAAAGCCAGGCAAGACGCATCGCTGCGGCAGTGCGTCTGGCACATGCGGTCCTCGGTTCTTCTTGGTTCTGTTAGTATGAGACTGATGGGGAAAAGACATCAAAAATGATAGACGCTGTTGGATGATCCTTTAATATTGGCCATTGAAACGACACTGTTGTCTCTAAAACGAAGATAATTCCACACAATAAGCGGAGATTGGAAAGTACTATGAATTAGCCGGATTGATAATATGGTTATTCGAAAATATGTAGATATACTACTGAACTATGAAGCATTTCTTGCACTAACCCGGATCAGGAAGCCCTGATAACCTACCAAGTCCAACATCTCAAAGTAGTTACTAGTATTTTCAACGGCAACATACACAATGAATCCCAGCGACACTCCCGCCGCAGAAACGCCCCCAAGCATCTTCAATTATGTGCTCAGCTTCCTCCTAGTCGGCGTCGCCTGGGGCTTTACAACGCCCTTCATCCGGCGCGCAGCGGTCGACTTTAACGCTCGCAACGAGCAGAAAGCGCAGAAAGAACAGGATGCCGCCTCCAGCTCTAGCCTGAGCTCATGGGTAATGCAGAAGCTTCTCTCCCTGTCGAGGGCGGCAGCAAAGCTCCTGCGGACTCCTGGCTATACCGTGCCATTGCTGCTGAATCTCACGGGGAGTGTGTGGTTTTTTCTGCTGGTTGGGAAACACGGTATGTACAGCTTATGTTATTTATATATGATATATGTATGTATGTATGTATGTATATTCTCGCCGGAAACTCTTTTTTGAGGCTCTTTCTACTTCCTGTAGAAAAACCACTGTATATCTACATACATCGCCTTGATGGTCCTTGGCAATATCGGCTCGTATATTTAAACCAACCCCTCCTGCTCTGGCTGATCTTTCATTTTCCTTCTTTTCTTCCGCTTCGATATTCGCAGAACTTAGCCTCAGCGTCCCCATCACAAATTCGATGGCATTTCTCTTTACCGTGCTGGGGGAGTGGTGTGCTGAGGAGAAGGTGATATCAAAATGTGAGTTTCTGATCAGGAATCCCAACCACCCCATCTCCCCAACCGCCCTCTCTTTTCATCCCCTGTTTTTTCCAATAGTCTTCTCCGACTCGCTAACTTCCTTTTGTGTTGGGATGAAGCAACGTGGCTGGGCATGTTTATGGTGCTGGGTGGGATTGCGCTATGTGTCCATTCCAAGACGCAGTGATATATCATATGCGTACAGTAATGTAGGCGTTCCGGCACTTAAGGTCAAAAGAATGCCTTTTTTTGCTTCTTTGATTATGTTTGAAATTTTAGCCTAATACATAATCCTCTTGCTATGTGTATTCAATCCCCTTGTCACTTTGAAGCTGAGCTATTTAATTTTGGTTTTGATAAAGAATTATGAAACTGTTTTACAGAGATGTTGATTTTAAGCCCAAACCTGCCTTTTCAACTGAGACCTGAGAGTAAAATTAATCTTTTATCCCTTTCCACAGCCACAACCACCACCACTTCCTCCTCCGGCTCCTCCTCCTCCTCCTTCGCTGTTCCCCTTGGCCGCCTGCCCTTTTGCAATTCATTCACAGCCTTATTTTGCTAAATTCTACAGACGAATCCAGTCATGTTCCAGCAGCTCAGCCGCGGACTTTCGACATGCTGGATCAATTGCAAGCATGCCTCTAAGAAAATCAATAAAAACCGGGACTTCGGCATCGGGCATATCAATGGGTTTTAGGAAAGGCTTTGTTTTGCCGTTTACCAAGCGTTCAAGGCTGGTGGCCTCCATGTTAGGAATGCGGAGAAGGTTTCCTAGAATTAAGACATATTAAAAGGGTGGTGATAAAATGTGAAAAGAGATATTGGTAGGCTTGTCTTACCTTGCTTATCGAAAAAGTGTGCTGCGCGATGGCCTTTTGCTATGAAGTGGGATGGGAATTGACCAAGGATCTCAATCATTCTTGCGAGATGGTCGTCTTCAGCTGTCCATATACCCCCTGACGACGCTTCCCCAGAGAAAAGCACTATTCCTTGCACAAACTCCATAACCTGTTCCAGTGTATAATCAGAATGTAACTGTGATGCAAAGTTTTCGTCAAACAGGGGCTCTTACAAGACATCCAAGACTTCATATATCCACACCAGAATCCCAGGGAGCGCCTATTGTTACCTCCGGAGCCCTCAGAGCAGGTGACTGGATTAAACCTGATAGATGCTTTTCCTTCTACGATGCTATAATCATAATAGTACGTTTTAATGTGCTGCACATGTATCAACGGGACAGAAATAGCCTCCTTACGGACGCCGAAATCGATTATCCTGATATGGAAATTTTGTGTTTCCGAGATGATCGGTGTGGGAATAACCTCTCGAAGAGGCGCACCACATTGGGAGTCAACCCGTACGGGAACTTCTGACAAATACTGGGACACAGTGCTGTTTGAATTATCCAGCTCTAGAGGAATATTTGTTGGCTTCAGATCTATCCAACCATTAACAGCACAGGAGAGATGTCAACATCAGAATGAACATCTGGAAAATCGATAATAATATAATATGCCATACCAGTATGAATGATACCACACCCCCTGTGAAGAAAGTCGAGCCCCAGAAGAAGCTGCCGTGTGATACCTTTCACAGCCTGTACAGGTAATTTCCCATCTTCGTACCTTGCAGCTTGGAAGCCCAGGTGATGTCCGAGCACATCAAATACAAGGCAAACATGCTCTCCATTGGGTCCTGTATGCTTGAATTGCTCAAGAAGATGAGACACGTAGTTGCACCCCGGGTGGGAACTTTGGTTAGAAATTTCGGAAACTCGTGAGAGGATCTCTCTCTCAAAGATGTCATGCGGGCCGCCATAACAGTCAGCCCTCAGCACCTTGAGCGCTACATATTTCTCATGCCTGGCATCTCTGGCTAGCCAAACTGTGGAATATTGCCCGTATCCCAGTTTGCGCAGGATGGTGTATTTGCCATGATGGAAGGTGTCGCCTAGGGAGATGGGATGAAATCCGCCGATTCGGTAATAATCTGGCTCCTCTGTCACAGTGGAAGGTTTAGCACGCTCCATCGATGCCACTTGAGAAGGTATTCCAAAAAACTTCGAGATTCGAGATCGAAATGGGATCAAGAGCTCTCTCAATGAACTCTTGAAAGAAGTACAAGGTCGCGAGGCCAAGGTTTCGTGGGTGGATGTCCACCCAATAGAGTTATGCAATGCTTGAAAATGCCAGTACTGGGGAGGAATGGCAACAGAAAGCCATAACAGAAACCAGCGCCTGTGACAGAACTTAAGACGGGCCCGAAACCAGCTTCGAAGGAATTCCCCGAAGAGATAGTTTGGACACATATGTCTAGACTCCCTCCATGGCGAAGATAGGGGGCTCGGACATGGCACTCCTTTCACCCCTTTCACGCACACTTGTTCGTGTGTCGTTGCATCTCTGATACTTGCATTCACGGGGTTGAATATCGGGACGGAAAAACTTATCCGCCGAGAGCACTCTGATTGGCTATATTGGGTACAGAAACACATATGCATACTGTCTGTGATTGGCTGTAGGCGCTGCATCGTAATATCTGAGTCATCCATGGGATATAGTTATATAGATCGCGTCAATCATCCCACGAGATGCAGAGAGAAGGACGACGACATATTTTCTCAAGGGAAGAGACGTCAGGATATATACGAAGAGTATAGTACCAGTACTTATTGAAGCGCGCCCCTCTTAAACGGTTTACGCTAATACGTTTCATCAGGCTCTTTTTAAAGCATCAGCACTGCCTCTTGAGCGATGATGGGCAGTTGAGCCCGAAGGAGCTTACATATATCAACCCTGGGTTATATGTTTATGATAAATGTATGCATGAGGTCGGGGGAATTACCTTAACAGCATTAATTAAACGACAAAGAAACAACATCCCAAACGTTATCTCTATTGCGCTCAAACCACAAAGCGCAATCAAGATGACAGCCTCCATGCGCTCCAGCATCTCCAGCAGAAAGCGCGCCTCTCGCGCCTCCAACGCAAGATATTCGACAACGCCTAGCACAAACCCCAAAAAAACCCCTAAACCAGCCCTTACCCAAACCAAGCTCACCCTCCCTTCAGAAACCCCTTCCAACATAAAGAAAAGCACCACCGCCCCTCTGCCCCCCTCTCACCCCGACCCCGCCCTCACCCAAACCCTCAAGACTCTCTCAACCTACCCCTCCCTAACCCCCCACCAACGCAAAGTCTACCGCACCCTCCTCTCCGTCCCCCGCGGCCGCTGGACCACGTACGCCGCCCTGGCCGCCCACCTCTCCTCGTCTCCGCGCGCCATCGGCAACGCCATGCGCACAAACCCCTTTGCGCCCGCCGTGCCATGCCACCGCGTCCTGGCGTCGGATCGCACCGTGGGCGGCTACAAGGGCAAGTGGGGCAATGGGGCCGATTATGCCACGGAGAAGACGGGGCTGCTGAAGGGAGAGGGCGTGGTTTTTGATGAGAAGGGAAGGGTGCTGGGGGAGTGCTTTGGGGGGTTTTGGGAGGTTAAGTGATAGTGAGAGGTGTGTCTTTTTTTTTTTGGGGGGGGGGTTTTCGGGAAGTTAGTTATCCATGGATGTTATGCATTCTATGTGCATGTAATCGAAGGGGGGGGGGGGGGGGAAGGAAAAGGGGTTGAATTCTACCGGTACCCCTTGTTTTGTTCTTTTTTTTTTTTTTTTTTTTTTCTTTTTTTCTTTTTGTCAGGGCTTGTTTAGTTATTTTACACCCTACCCAAGTTTGGCTGCATTTTTTTTTAGTGTGATAACTTTTTTATATAAAAAGGAGAGAGAGATGGCTATTTCAACCCCGTTTCTCGGGGTTAATAAGCTACTCACCCGCTCACTGTTATATGATATTCGTACCTTTCACTCTTGAGTCATGCAACAGTCCGTGCATTTATAGCTAGACAACAGCCATTAAATCCTCTCGTCACACTTATTTAACATCTCACATCAATGTACTCCGTATGAAGAATAAACATTTCCACACTACGAAGCAGATGAGAAATACTCTCAACATTGACTCTCGGGCCTGATCACACCTAAGCTGCCAATGCACATGCAGCAGGCTTACAAGGAGCACTGGAACAGTTGTCTCAATTTTCTAGAAATCTTCTGTAACATTCTGCGTTGGAAGATGTACATGGGTAAAATAGAATATAACAGGCAAAATAGCAGAAGCAGGTCCAGTAAACTGAAGAGCGATGCAAAATTGTCAGGTCAACTGCCCTGGCTTAGTAATCCTTCAACCATATAACTTGCCACGTAGCTAGCAATCCTTCAATCAAGCAAGCTTTACACCTTCCACAAAAATAAAATAGTGTACGCAAAGGTAACGTATAATTACAAAATAAAAAAAAAAAAAAAAAAAAAAAAAAAAAAAGAGAGAGAGAGAGAGAGAGAGAGAAACAAGCGTAAAATAAAGGAAAGAAATTGATGCTTGAAACGCAGAAACGTGAAGGAAAAAACGAAAAATGAAAAAGAAAAATTGAAATAAAAATATATATAAACACTGAATACTCAAGGCTATATCATACATAAAAAAACAAAGATGACAAAACAAAAATAGCGCATCCTGTACACACAGTATGTATATATATAGAAGTAAAATGCTGCGTAGAAATGGATAATAGAACCTTTCCTCTCCAAGAGGCAGATAAACACCGTTTCCAATCTGATGCTCGCTGTGTAAAGCGTGGGGGAAGGAAATCTGTAGAGATCAAAGTGAAAGAAATAGAAATGGATAGAAAAAGGCCAAGATTAAGTACGGTAATAATAATAGGCAAGAATAAGGATGACGAGAAGAGAATGAAAGGCGCAAAAAAAGAGGGGTCCCGGGGGAAGACGCAAGCCAGCGCAGCTGACAGTGATGCGTACTAAAGTATCATCCCCCAGAAAAGGGAATTGAACGTTGCCGTCTTATTTAACCACCACTGCCCTTTTCCCCATCATTTGTAGGTCTTTCGAGAACCAGCTCGATACTAGGCAAAGTGGTGGAGAAATATATATAATATAGTGTTGGAAATGGACGTGGAAAAAGATAATATTAGCGCGTATTAGTGGGAATATGGTGGGATGGATATTCGTGGCCATCCTTATAGATCGAGTATTGGAAAGGAAAAGAAAGATGAGGCGGGCAAAGGAGGCTATCTAGCGATGTGTTTCTGGTTGCTGCGCGGAAGACTTGGAAGATCTCCGCTTGGCGACGGGCTCCTTGTGGTACTGGCGCAGGTGCTCGTTGAGATGGTCCTGGCGCGTGAAGCCCTGCTCACCTTTTCGCGAGCATTTGGGCTTTGGGCAGTTGAGTCTGACAGAGTCCGGGAAGTGGACGGTGGGGTAGTGGCGGCTGAGATCCGCGGAGCGGCTGAAACTGCTCTCGCAGCGCGGGTACATGCAGACGTATCTACTGCCGGACCTGTAGTGTGAGGGAGATAACTTGTCAGTGTTGCCGTTCACTGTATTTCGAGGCGGTACGTATGTAGAGTTGTGTTTTATGTGTATTTGCTCCATTTTAATAAGATCCAGGGGAGGGACGTCGAGCATACCTTTCTACCCCTGCGGCTCTTGATGACTTTGACGGTGTCGTCGCGGGCTCTTCAGTGACCATTACATACTCTGGGCTAGCTGTTGAGCCAACGGAAGCTTGCCGTTGTTGTTGATACATTGGGTCTGTGAAACCTGCCGATGTCGTGGGGTGATGGATGCTGTAATATGCCGGGTGTTGTTGGTGCCCGCTGCTCGTAGAGACCATGCTTGATGCCGTCCTCGTGGAACTGTTGCTATCCGTTGACGAGGAGTAGGTCATGGCCGGTGCGATAGAGGTAGAAATTGAGTATTGTGTATGAGGCGTGTGATACTGGGCGGTTACGGCTTGGGTCAGATATGGGTTTTGGTAGTCTGTTACAGGCAACTCGCGACTCACGGAATTGCTATGGGGCTGTTGGTATTTGCGTGTATGAGCCATGGCAGCTGTTGTAGCTTTGAGAAGAATGCCAGATTCTAAGCAATGACTTTGTTTATGGATAGGAGGTGGTTGTTTGGCTTTGTGAGAGGTAGGTGAGTAAGGGGGGGAGGGAAAAACGAAGATGGAGAATGCGTGTGTCTGTGTATATGATATAGAATTAAGTTGTTGTTGAAACTAACTTGAACACAAGGGATGAGATGACAACCCCAGCGGATGTATATATATCTTTTCCGATGCTGCAAGTATGCCTGCCACGGAGCATACTTCACGGTTCCAGGTAGGGCTCAAACCTATGCCTCGTATTGTTCAACACGTGACATTGGGATGGAGACCAGGACCCTGATGATCGAAGCTGGAACCAAACCACCAATCACTGGGGGGTCACATTTTGAACCTGGTACTATAGCGAGAAAAAGTGATGCGAGCAATCTGAACCGTGCACACCGAAAAGCTCTCGCGGGGGACTGGTCTGAGAAGACAAAGCAAGTAACGATGACGCAGGACAAGTACATTGACTGCCACTTGGACTCGGTGCTTCAAGACAACCTCCACGTGGAAGATATTCGAAACACTGCCCCTTGGATTGGACTTTTTAACGTATCTATTGACGTAGGAAGCAGAGTTTTTGATTTGGGAAAGAAAAGAAAATAAGCAAGACGAGAGAGAAAGCTTTCTGTAATGCCCAATGGTAAAAGGCCACCAACCCAAGCGGCGGTCAAGACCATCTTACCTGACGAATGCCCGGTTGGGTCGCCAAAGTGGGTGCCAGAACATACATTCCTGCAGCTCATACTGCGCAGCATTATTATCCACAAAGAAAATAATAATAATAATGATAATAATAATGATAACTAGGTAAGCGTAGCACACCATTCATTCCAAGTAGGGAATATGGGAGAAAAGAGGGCAGCAGGAGAGTGTCAATGTTCTCTTTGCTATTATTTGTCCCACATTGAAGTGACAGCCCTGTCCACTCGCCTCATTTTTTTCTTTTTCCCCGGACATTAACAAAAGCGAGGATCCGGATTTTGGTTTAAAAAAAAAGCGATCGGGTGCTCGGAACGGGCCGAAAAATGTTCGAATTAGTGCCAAAAGGAACCTGGTAGATATCTAGAAGCCCTTTCCACCAATATTAGGCTGGATTGTTAGGCGGCCCACACGCAATGGCTGTCTTGACCGTTCTCCCGCCATAGAGTAGGTGTATACTCTGGACCGTTTTGAGTGGAGAGAAACCCTGGCCAATTGGCTCCTCTTCCGAAAAAAAAAAAGGGAGTAGAATGACGACATTGGAAATGCAAGGGGTCAGGTCTCATTCTCGCAGATTGTTTCAGGTACTTTGGAGCAGAATGAAACATCATTTACTGCTGACGGTCGGAGGCGCCTGAGAGGAAGAACGTGGCCGGTTCCTGAAGTAGCGGGTGGTGGTCCTGTTCACCAGCCCCAAGCAGAGTAGGCCCCAGAGATCAGTGCTGACAGCACCAGCAGCCTGAAGTGTGGCACCAAGCAGTCGTGGCGCCGTGAGACTGGTTGGATATGCTGGAAGGGCAGAAATTGCCAGGTTTGTTGCAGGATTGGTTGGATGTGGTGGGATGTTGTTGGTTGGATCTTTGGGGAAAAAAGGAGGGTTGGGTAGCCGCAGCTTAGTCATCGAGCCCCTGTTTGGGCTTAGCGCCCTCAGCAGCAACTCCAGCCTCACGTCGAACAACAACAAAACACAACATCCACCAGGAGAAGGCAAACAACTAGCATGGGAACGGCTGCCCGTTTTCCTGCGTCTACTAACTGGCTTTACCAAAACAAATCCATTTACTCTCACCCGGCAAAAGTGAGGCGTTGGGGTATTACCCCACTAGCTAATCCTACCATGCCGTCCCTGAGGTGTTCAAGCCTCAGGCTTCAACTACATACCGTCGTGGATTGCTGTGGTGTCAATATCCAATGACACCGTGCTGGGCACATGTACGTACACACCTACGTAGTTGTAGTTGTTATGCATACAACTGTATGCACCTTGAAATCCGGGATATCAATTGATAGGAACGGTACCTTAATTTCCTCCACGCTCTTCGTGAGGACCGAACCACCTACTGAGAATTTTCGTCCCAGTGGGCTGTGTCCAAGTTATTCGATTCCGGCCTGAGGAATGCCCGTACCTTACAGATGGCCTGCATGTGCGCTTCACACTCTGTTTCATTCTCTTGGTGGGAGTTTCGGAGTAGTCCAAAATTGTACTATGTTTGTATGCTGATGCGGATCCTTCCAGCTGGGACCTCCCAGATGTTCATCTCCCATTTGAACTCCTGTAGTTCACTATGAAACAAGAATATGTCTTCCCTTCATTGCTGGTGAGTGTCGCAGAAAGGTATTGGGGGGAAAGGGGAGTATACTTGATATGGCCAACAGCAAGCCGAATAAATAATTACTATATCTATGCCAATCTGCCTAGATAGGCGTATCGGTCCCCTGTTCTTAAAAACAGGTCATGCCGCTTGAATTACCAGAGTACCTAACTTAGACCAGAGTTGCTGATCTACAACAATGAAGCTGCTAATGAACTTGTCCCACGAACCCGATGAATGTGAACACTTATAATTATACCCTCTTAAGACGGTCTGCAGTAAGACTAACACTGGGCTACAGCCTCTACTTTTTCCTTCCTTCCTGGACATGTAAGATACTTAAAATTTCTGTGATAGCTATGAAGACACGTAGATGTCTCCAGCATTTTCGCTTTGAAATTTGCTGTCATCGTTCGCCTACTCTTTGTAGACAGCTCTCAAAACCTCCGATATGCATCTTATACTTTGACAGCACATAGGCAGCGCATCCATCAAACCTTAACGGCGATGATTCAACATTACTAAGTCTTGCTAGGATGCCCTCAACTGAGCTGTTACATCCAACCCTGTACCACCATGATGACTGGAGAATTATAGTACTCAAAGCGTTCCCTGAGGCTTCCTTGTCTCCTCCCATTCAGTCGCCGGAGGCTGTCGTTCCCTGAAGACACAAAGCAAAAAAGTGAAGCTGACCACCACGAATATAACCGCAGGTTACCTATAGAAAAAATAATAATTACTGAAGCGTCGCACAGCCGTGGCTGCCTCATTTTCATTCTCTCTGCTCAGATCCTAACCTCCTGCTACACCAACGACCTAACTTGACAGATTAGCGTAACCACAGAGCTACCAATATGTTGCACACGGATATACATATGCACAGTAGTTACATATAGGTATTCCAGTACTCAAGAGTCAAGAGTCTGGGATAAAAGGTACAAGACATGCCGGATTTTCCAATAGTGGTCGTCACGCGGTACACATCTATGTATGTACTCTACTTCTATACCCCCGTCGAGATCTTTCTGATATATATGCTCACACACCCTGATGCGGCTGAAGACAGGATATAATGCCCGTTATCTCATGTATATGAAGTTCAATATACATATTCATGGCCAGGTACTCTATCTACTTTGCCCTGGGAAGACGAGGCTGAAATTCGGTAAGATGTGCACTATCCACATTTTTTTGATACTATTTTACGCAGGATTTTTTCTCCTTGCACAGAAGAAATGGGCGTTGAACAAGCGGCGTTCGTGGATCATGATGTTAGCGGCGATACGGAGTAGAGGACGATGGATTCCTTGGAGAAACCAACCCAAACGGACACAAAACCCCGCAGGATTTAAACCTCGCAAGGCTGCTGATCCGGGTGAGACGATAAGCGAGTATTAGTGTCGAGGGAGGATATCATAGGAATACTGACAGAGCGATTCGTATATACATACATCCTTGTGAAATAAGGCAAGTTTATTTCACGGGAATGGAAATGTTGTCGATGAGGGTTATAGTTGGTAACTACCTTGGAACACATTCCGCACAAGCTATGTGCAAAGCACCTCGATTATCTACCCGAAAGGGTTCCCTGAAAGACACATTGCTATACTCTCAGATCCGTTAATCTACGTAGTATTGTATACGCTCTTCTTTCAGTAGACGAGCCAGGCGACGCTACATTGCGAGGTTCCGCAAGCCAAATCAAGTCGCCCTGATTCCCAGGTTATATGTTACCTCTATACTCTAGCCCTGTGTGTAACCATGAAAGAGAACGAATGCTCAAGCAGTATGGGAGGGTGTTGAACCAAGGAATAGAGCGGACAGACCTCAGATCTCAGATCTCAGGATCGCGATAAGTGGCAACAGAGAGGTGACGCCAATACTGATGAAAGGCTGTCTGATGAGTGTATTGTGTGCAAATAAATCCGGGTTCAACGAAAAGAGGCATATCAAAATCAAATGTTGAAAAAAGGGGGATTGGTTAAAAGCACGGCTTGTCATATGTACTGTACATACATAGAAGAAGACCCTACTATTGTGTATGTGGCATGTGAGCAAGTAGGTTGGCATATCTGATCTAATGGTCCAAGTACATCTCGATTGTTTTCAAGGCATGTTCAAGGGGTCCTTTCACCAAGTCTGTCTGACTTCTGATTGAATAGTAGCGAGATACGGCAATGTATCCCTCTAGATGATGTGTAGAATGCAATCCTAGATTTACATGGTTTTATGGTCTCATGGTCAGATGGACTGAAGAATATGGGATGCAAGCGGACAGTGAGATTAACGGTCCGTGTAATGCGACAGGCTAAGAGGAGGAGGGAGGAGAGGAAGATCAAGAGGGAATAAAGTAACACAGAGAGAAAATTTTTTGAGAAGATGAAGACGCATGAGCAGGAAGGGAAGAGGAGCAGCTCATATAGATTTCCGGCAGACACGGACGATATTGACTCTGAGTGGTGAGATGGCGAGCGGGATGCCGCGCCCTGTACTCACCATCCAATCTTTTACGAGGTTAAAAGTTCTATCAAGAAACCGTGATAGACCCACAAAAGTAGACAGACAATAATTGTTTGTTTAAAATCAAATGACAGGACAGAAGAAAGCAAGCATCAAGAAAACTAGGAAAAAACAAGGGACAGACAACGAACAACCCCGCTCCCCGGCCACCTGGCACTGTTAAAATAATTGCTGTCGAATGGCAGAGTAATTTAGTACAATGTAGTGGGAAAAAAAACACGCTGCCCTCCGGTTTCAAACACCACAGCCCACCACCCAATTTCCGAAAAAAAAAAAAAAAAAAAAAAAAAAAAAGAATGAGAACCCGACTATAGAGAAGTAGAAGCGTGAGTAGAAGCTGGAAGCACAAAGAGTTATTAAAAAGGAGGTTTGTGGAGGTGTGATAGCAAAGAAGAGACTCTAAGAGAAAGAGAGAGCGGGAGATTGGTGGGGGAGTGAATGAAAATGTTGCATCGAGGTACGGATGTGGGGATTGAATTGGACAGATGATGGGATGGAAAAGCAACGGGGGTGGAAAGACGGGTTTATTCAACTGGGGGTGTATCTGTTTGTGGAGTACGCCAAAGTCATTGTTTAGAAGAGTACATAGTATTTATGTGCCTGAGCCCTTTGCCTAAAACCCAAATATTCTGCTAGCAAAAAAAGAATAGAAAAAGAACAAAAGGAACTTTGTTCTTGCTTCCCTTCCTCTTGTCTCCTTGTCTTTACAAGTCGTCTTCAAGGAATTTGTAGACGAATTTGAAGTCTGCTTTTCGCCGGTTCATCCTGTATAGTTCGAACATACATTGGTTACTATGTTTCCAAAAAAAAAAAAAAAAAAAAAAAAAAAAAAAAAAAAAAAACAAGGGTGCTGACGGTAAGTGGAGGAAATGGGGAATAACTAAATGAATAAACAAATGTATAAAGTAAAACCTACCATGTACTCTCATAATCAAAGAACCGATACGTCCCCTGTTCAAACTCCTCTGTAATCGTCTTTGGCTCCTCATGCCGCTGAAACCAGGTCTGGTACTGCTTATGGAACCGCCAGCTCTGATTCTTCAATGATTTCGCTGCCAGATACTGCTGGTAACTCGCCTGTCGATAATAGAAGATATAGAACAACGTGTCTGTATCGATGCGCCCCGTCTCGTATAACCGCGGGTCATCGAATATTGGCAGTACTTCTTGCGGGTAGTAAAGAGGGGTGTTGTAAGGTGTTTGCGGTTTGTAGTGGCGGGGTTTCTCTGCATCTCCGGGTTCTGGGCAGGTGTGGTGCGAGGCCGTTAGGAGCCGTTGGACAGACGTCGAAAGAATGACGGAGACTCTGGATTTGGTGATTTCGAAAGATTGGATTAGGTCTTGAAGGCCGGGGGGGAGGTGGTAGACGGATTCATCATTTGACGCTGGAGCTGGAGCACGGGCAAGAGCTGGAGCTGGAGCTGGGGTAGCATTTTCCTTGGGCTCGCCATTTGTTGTGGGCGCCGCATGCTCATCTGACGCCACGGTTTCCACATTATCCGTGGCCGGGGGTGGGGGGACCGTTGCAGGTCTACTCGTAGGAGCACTCGGTAACGTTGGCGATTTGGATTGCTGTTGGCTAGCGGAATCGTCCACACTGGGGGCTGCAGATGCAAGCCTCTGCACAGGTTGTACATGATGCACTTGCGGTGAGGCGGTTGAGGATGTTGTTCCCGGCGGTGGTGGTAAGGGAGCTATTCCCACACCACTTTTATCACTAGCTGCTGCCGCAGCTGCTGCAGAAGCATATTTCAAGGTCTCTCCTGGTAATCGCGTCGGTAGAGGGGCAGGCTTCATAGAACCTGAAGCCGTAGATGAGGGTCCGTTATGAAGTGTCGCCAAAACTGGGAGGGGCGACTTCATCTGCGTCGATGGCCTTCGTGCCGGCCCGGGTTCTGCTTTCGCCTTTGACCTCGCGGCTTCCGCATCATCATCCTGTATTGATTGCGTATCCTGAGATGAGACCCTGTCGTTATCAGTGGGCATACCAAACTCGTCATCTCCTAGCGTTATGTCGTCGTATATCGTTTCATCTTCCCCACAGAAGTCTGCATTGTGACCATCGTCCGCGAAATATTTGATGCTGTCTTTGATGTCCAGCACTTGGCTTGTCTCAACATTTCCATTTTGAAGACACCGCAGGAGTAGTTCCAGCTTTGTCACATGCCATCGGTGCCGCTCTAGAATCCTTGTAATATCAGACAACCGGGTAGTCTTTGCAGCATCCTTCTTTCCCTTCTTTAGCGATGCCTGTATCATCTCTTCCTCAGCCTCCATGGCCTCAATCTTTTGTTGTAGGATATCAACGGTTGACGATAGGAAGTCGCATGTTTCAGCCTTCTCTTTTTCCTTGGGGTCTAATCGAGCTGCAGCTGATAGACCTTCCTTCGAATAGGCCTTGGTTTTCATTTCCTTTTCAACGGCTTTGAATTGTTCCATGCACTGTCATTCTCCAGTTAGCTAGGCCCCACAGAGATTCAACGGAGGCAGGTGGGGAAATGGAGGATAGAGCGGAATCACGGCCAGAGACAGAGATGGATGGGGAAGCGCACAGTTTCAATGGCCCTCCGCTGCTCTAGCAAAGGGCCCTTGTCCTTGACTTCATTTCCTGCAGCCCATGTTTTAATCTGATCACGGAACCGTTGAAGCTTTTTGATTTCGCGTTTAAGGTTGTCTTCTAGCTTGTCTCTTTGTGCCGCGTTTGACGATGATTTTATCTTGTCGTATATGCCCTCGAACGATTGTATGCCTTCAGCGACCTTCTTGAAGGTCTTGTCGATTTCCTGCTGTGTTTTTCGCGACGTCATGGTTGCTTCATAGACGGAGTTGTTTGCATTTAACCAGGTTAGTAGGAAAAGGGCGAGATTGGAGAGGCGGAAGGACGAACGGCGGAGATCGATCAGCCGATGCGAGTAGTGGGAGTGTAATCTGCGGCGTAGATATGAGACGGGGGACAATATATCGACGCACCAAGGTGGGTGAAGGGCGGGTGAACGGAACGGCGGGTGCAGAATGTGCAGAACCTGCTCGGTGGTGATCTGGACTGGGATTGATGGATTGCTTGATGGATGAAGCCCGAGTTGGGAAGACGTGCCAAGAACATGCGCTCGCATTGGCGCTAAACAACAAACTCACTCCGCCGCGGCCTCCTCCGATTTACAATATATCGACGGGGAGGCAATGGGCGTTTATCAGGGTTTCTGTGTTTGGTATCCGATATCGTCTTCTCCTGCTCATAGATTTAGAATGGTCTGGGGAATGACGTCTCGTTGATTCCCGCCCCGTGGAGTCCCTAACGTCCTGTTTTTACCACGAGATCTAGATATTCCATCATGAAAGGTAAAGCTTCCCCGCTCTATTTACATTGAAGCCCGGAATTCCAAGCCTAATAGCGATCCCGCTCTAGCTGTTCTACAACGAGTCACTTCTGCCTCAGTTACAGTCGATAAAACGCTTATTTCGTCCATTGGCAGAGGCCTTCTTGTGTTTGCCGCTGTCGGCCCGGATGATACTCAGAAAGATGCAGAGTCCCTTGCGGCAAAGGTTCTTAAGCTAAAGATCTGGCCCGATGAGGCGGGCGGTACGGTATGTTTCAACCCTAAGAGCTGCTCAGGCGGATTGGTTTTCACAGATTAAAGGCTCTAACTAGTAATCTGAATACAGTGGAAGAGAAGCGTCCAAGATATTCAAGGAGAAGTCTTATGCGGTACGCAAACCAGAGCACGCCAAACACCAGTAGAAAGATATAAAGCCAGCGTGAACATTTTTTACCGATGGATGACGTTTTTTTGGTCCACTCTTCATGTTTGGATTTTACAGTGTCCCAATTCACCCTCCTGGCCCAAATCAAAAAGGGCAACAAACCAGACTTCCATCACGCCGCGGACGCGACCAAGGCCAAGGAGTTGTACGATCACTTCTACAACAAAGTTGGAGAACTCTATAGTGTCGAACGCGTCAAGAACGGCGTCTTCCAGGCAATGATGGAAGTGGGCCTCGTCAACGATGGACCGGTGGGTGTGGATTTACCGCAGTGAGGACGGCGCGGTATAGCGATAACGCTTTTTCCCGACTCCTCTGTGTCTGGGTTTTGAGGACAGGGCTGACTTGGAAATATTGTTACCGCGTAGGTTACGATTCAAATCGACACCGCGTTACCTAAAAAGGAGCCTAAGAAACCAGGGGATGGAAACGGGAATGGGAACGGGAATGGGAATGGGAATGGCCAGTCGAGGGATCCAACTGTGCAGCAACCGGAGCAAGGTGGCGCGGGGAAAAACTAGGATGTATGAGGGAAGAAGGGTGTTATATGTGCTAGGCTATATTCTATTTACTTTCACATACAATGTACAAGATCTATCTATCTATCTCTAGGATCCGATCTGGTGGGGAGTTTGCACTGTTTGACTGCGCATGGAAGCTTCTACAAGGCTCGCGCATTTCGAACAAACAATCAACAACAAAAACCGCCGCAAAACCCAACTTCCCTTTGTATTTCAGGCCTCACCTTGAATTGCTGTACTCTCACTCGTTATTGCTGTCTGCTATCTGTGAGTCTCCTTTCTACAGCTCCAACTTTTACATCCTCATCATGGCCGAAACTTCAGGTACTTGTCCTTTATTCCCGCCCCGCAATTTGTTTTGCCTGGCAGGGCTCCCTGCTTCCCCCCAGTGGGTTGCCAAAGTCACTGACAACCCCCCGAGTTGCAGGTCGCCCGCGAGTCTTCTTCGACATCCAAGTTGGAAAAAGACCAGAGGGCCGCATTGTCTTTGAGCTGGTAAGTGTTTTTTTCGGAGTTCAATTGCGACATGCCTCGAGGTGAGGAAGACTGGGAGCTGACTTGCGCTAGTTTACTGATGGTATAACATGATTCCGATGACTCTCACTGCTTTCGATATATGGCTTCTAATTTTCGCTGTATGCAGTTGTCCCCAAAACTGCGGAGAACTTCCGCGCGCTCTGTACCGGCGAGAAGGGTGAAGGGAAGTCCGGGAAGCCGCTCTGCTATAAGGGTAAGCTTTTTTTCTTTTCTTTTTTTCCCCCTTCTTAGGAATAGAGATGCGCTTTCCTACACATATGCATGGAAAAAATTGGTTGGCAATATAGCTAAAAGGAATTTCACGTCTGATGCGTACATCAGGCTCCATTTTTCACCGTATCATCAAACAATTCATGATTCAAGGTGGTGATTTCACCGCATTCAATGGTACTGGCGGCGAATCGATCTACGGCGAAAAATTCCCAGATGAAAACTTCGAGCTCAAACATGACCGCCCGTTCCTGCTTTCTATGGCCAATTCTGGCCCCGGAACCAATGGGAGCCAGTTCTTCATCACCACCGTCCCCACTCCGCATCTAGATGGCAAGCATGTCGTATTCGGCGAAGTCATCAGCGGGAAAGGGCTAGTGCGCAAGATTGAAAAGGCCCCCACGGACTCAGGCGACAAGCCACACATGGAAGTCAAGGTTGTGGACTGTGGTCAACTGACTGGCGACGCCTACGAAACCGCTACCCAATCATCTGTTGACGAAACGGGCGACAAGTACGAGGACTACCCGGAGGATGCAGGGAAGGAATTTTCCGGGGAGGAGTATTACAAAATCGCCTGCGACCTGAAAGACTATGGCAACAAGGCTTTCAAGGCCGGCAACGTAGACCTGGGCCTGGACAAGTACCAAAAGGGCCTGCGCTACCTCAACGAATACCCGGAGACCTCGGATTCGGATCCGCCAGAACTTGCTGAGCAGATGGCCATGTTGCGATTCACATTGCACTCCAACTCAGCACTGCTAGCGAATAAACTCAAGCAGTTCGAGGATGGGCGCTCATGGGCGGGTTTCGCGCTTGAGAACGCCGCGGCCGCTAAGGCGAAGGACGCAGATAAGGCCAAGGCGTATTACCGGCGAGCTATGGCGTTGGTTGGGTTGAAGGATGACGAGGAAGCATTGAAGGATCTGGCGGAGGCGGCGAAGTTGGCGCCGGGTGATGCCGCGATTACGAATGAGACGGCGAGGGTCAAGAAGGCGATTGCGGATCAGCAACGGAAGGAGAAGGAGATGCTGAAGAAGTTTTTCAAGTGATGGTGAAGTGCAAATTGCGAGGGCGATGTACTCATGCGAAAGAAGGGTGGGGAATTAGGTAAACTTGGGAAAATCCATTGGGACTCTTAAGTGACAATGATTAACTATCTTATCTACGCCGACAAGAAATAGAAAGAAAGAAAAGAGCAAGGGGTTCGAGAAGGGAATGGTAAGAAGAACGTAACTGAGTGTATTTTTTTTTTTTTTTTTTTTTTTTTTTTGGTTTTTATATCTTTGTATCGTTTTTCGAGTAGAACCCTGGCGTCTCTCAGCCTGCGTCAAATGTCTGTTTTATTTAGCTATCTCCCCTTTCTTCTCAATCTCGTCTTGTTTCGTTTAAATCTTTTGTCTGTGGAGGGTTTTTTTCTCGTTTGCTTGCTTGTTTGTTAAATGGTGATATAGGTTCCAATCCTCCTGGCGTGATTGGGCTCTTTTAAGTTAATCAACCACAGCACCATTTACAAACTTAACAACTATTTTATCCCAGCCAGATCCCACGCTGGATCTCTGCTCCTTCGTGTATTCGTTTGAGAGGCATGACTCTGGTTCGAATCCGGTGTGCCAGCTAGCCTAACCCTAGCCCATATATAATGGAGGGTGATTGACCAATATCGCGAATTCGTTCAACTGTCGTCCACACTCGGCTTCTCCTTCACAAACTGCTCAGAATTCTGGGAGCTCTGTCCATCCGTCCCGTATCTTCATTCAAAGAACGAGTGCGGTAGCTCGATGCGGCAGGGCCAAATATCCTCTTACCATGGCTCAACAATTTCCAACATGAGGAACGAAGGACGAGAGCACTGCTAGCCGGGATAGTAGTTAAGGGTGGTACATCCTGGCTCCCCATATAAATAACTAGCCACGATTATCCAATCTCTGCTGCTCCCTTGCAGGAATTGGATTTTGAAGCCTTTGTCGAAAACCATCCATTCCCCAGGGAAGAGAGTGTGCGAGAAATGATCCATGCCAGCAGACAACCCCTCTGCCCATATGAACTGGGTTCGTCGGGTGTCATCGATTAACTTAACTGCACTCAGAGGATACATCAACTACTAAAGTAGAATAGCCCATCTAGAGCTACTGTTTAAAGATTGGGCATGATTTGTGCTGCGTATCCGTCGGACAATCGCCATGGCAAAGATAGCTAGCTGTGGGGCCTGCTTCCTTGGTCATTTCTGTTTACACAGCAACTGAGCACGGAGAAGTGTCACTTGTGCTTAATCAACTCTCCGAGTTGGGCGCAATATCCACTATGTTGGTTTGCTCGCTGGCTCAGGTTGTTTCAGCTCTGCGTGATCCCGGATCATAAACATCGAACAACGGAGACTTTCTTACGGTTTTGAAAGCTTCCTACCCCTGCTCCCAACTGATGAATAAAGAGTTTTTAAGCAGCCGAGGGTAGCTAGCTATGCCTCGGCCGCCGGTCTTTAAATACGCGGCAACCTTATGGTGTTCAATCATTGATTCACGCCTCAAACTTGGATAGCTGGTAAATCGAATACAGGCAAAGATTTATCTCCGATGCATCCCCGACCGTATGAGCAAGCACCTCTTCCGCTACCTCTTCCGCTTTCTCCGCCGTTTGTTCGATATCACATCCGCGACCTTGAGTGGTAGCTATTCAGTCTCTGTGGCCGTTCGAGGATCAGTCAAATTGCTGCATTCCATGAGCACGCTGCCAGAAATATGCTCTGTGAAATCACATATACTTGATCGTCGAATGCTGGAAGTTTCTCACGCTTAATTTTTCTTATTCCATTCTCGATTTTCCGCTCGTGAGTTAGCAAGGCTGCCAAACTCTCGGACACACTCAGAAAGGGTGGGTGTCGTGCCTTTTCACGAAAAATGATACTTACCGGGACACTTCTGTCCTGCGCCGCCCTCTACCTCTGTTCGGTCTCAGCTAAGGCAACGCCCCTGGAATGCAAATGCGTAAGTAGGTCCGCAAACCAACGTTTACATGCTACGTACACCCCTTATCTAAACTCCTCCTTCTAAGATGGCCCATGCTCATATCACATATAGGGCCCCGGCGACGCCTGCTGGCCGAGTCCTCGGGAATGGCAAACCCTCAACAGCACCATTGACGGGAAACTCATTCGCGCCATCCCCCCGGCTTCGGTCTGTTATAAATCGCAGCCCACCTACGACGCAGCAGCCTGCAGCTCCATACTTGCCCAATGGCACACTTCTGGTTTCCACTTGCAGGATCCCATTAGTATTGATTTCCCAATGTGGGCGGGTGACTCGTGTGCACCTATCTTTGAGAATGGGACAAGTGTAAATGGTGACCCGACGGCGGGGAAGAAGGGATGTTCGATTGGTCGCCATCCGGTTTACGTAGTAAATGCTACAGGTCCGGAGGAGGTTGTCACAGCGGTGAAGTGGGCTGGGGAGCGGAACATTAGAGTGAATGTTAAAGCGACGGGGCATTCATTGACGGGGAGGTGAGTGTTGGACATGCCATTTGTCATTTTTTGTGGTCAGGGTCAGCTTTTGTTGACGCTACTAATTGCTCGACTTTGCTGATTTGCGCTTTATTTTATGAAGGAGCACTGCTGAAGGGAGTCTTTCGTAAGTTAACCGTCTCTTCCTTTTGTGGATTTTAAATGGGCCAAATACAAGTTGAGGCCTAACATATCGATTTACATAAAAACGTAGCATTTGGACACGAAACATACGCGGCATTAAATTCCACGCCAAGTTCCAAAGTGCATCGTGTCCCGGCGGCGAGAGTGGCAGACAGGCTCAAATGGCAGCCACGGTAGGAGCAGGGGAGATTGGCTATGATGTGATTCAAGAACTAGATAAATATGGAGCCACCGCTGTCACGGGCGGAAATAACGTACGGGATCCCCGTCCTGCAATACTCACAACTCACATAGGCCTTTATTAACCATGCCCGACTCAGTACGTAGGGCTTGTCGGATGGCTTACCGGCGGCGGCCATGGGCGCCTAAGCAGCTCCTATGGCATGGGCTCTGACAATCTGATTGAAGCCAACATCGTCACTCCGACCGGCAAATTCCTCACCGTCAATGCTTGCCAACATGCTGACCTCTTCTGGGCCATCCGTGGCGGTGGCGGCGGTACGTATGGGATCATCACGTCGGTCATTATAAAGGCCTACCCCACACCGTCAACGACTGTGTGGAAAATACAAGGTCAATTATTGGACAAATCCAAGGAGGACCAGTGGTGGGACCTCATGGCTTATTTCTATTCGCTCCTTCCATCTATGAAGCAGAAGGGGCTTCAGGGATATTACCGCATGATAGGTCAGCCGTTTGCAGATACGCTGGTGTTTGTTGCCTCGTTTTTGTTGTATGACAAACCTAGTGGGACTGCTGAGGCTTTGTTCGAGCCGTTCAAGCAGAGACTTGATGAATTGATGCGTGCTAAGTCAGTGGCTTATTTGTCCGAAATCTTCACGGAGCCTTCGTTCTTGAAGGGCTATGATCGCCTGGTGTCAGATGAACCCGTTGCGCATGTTGACTATGCGCTGGGGACCTGGCTGCTTCCTGCCCAGCCTATGGAGGATGTGGAAGTAATGGCCAAGATGTTCAAGGAGATTGGGCCAAAGATCGGAGGCAACAGCGTGAGTTATTTTCCGTGGAGTACTTGATCCCCCTACTGCCTTTTCATTTACACCATTTACCCTTATGGACTTCCGAATGAAAAGAGAACCACCCACTGACAGAAATCCACAGCCACTGTCCACCATTTTAAATAGCTGCTTCGTTGCGAACTCGGCCAACAGTGACCTGGAAACAGCTTTGCACCCCGCCTGGCGCAAAGCAGTCATACATCTGATGGTCATCAGTGCTGCCACTAGTGGCGTTTCCCGTAAATCCATCCAAGAAGTTCGCGACGATATGACATATAACAAGATGCCCAACCTAAAGAAGATAGCCCCTGACTCTGCGGCATACTTCAATGAGGTGAGTTCATAGCCCATGCATGGCGCTTGTCAAAGCACTATTTTCAAGGACCCTCTGTATTTTCCACTTAACGCAATATATTTCTCCCGCCTAACAACACTGCGATAGATGGACCCATTCGACCCTGATTGGCAAAATGTGGCCTTCGGACCAAATTATAAGAAACTGAGAGCCATAAAGAAGAAATATGACCCCGATGCGCTGCTTTGGTGCTTTTCGTGTGTGGGGAGTGAGCACTGGGTTGAAATTGAGGATGGTAGGCTCTGTCGAGCTTATGGCGGAATCTGTCCAGCTTTAACTCGAAATATTATTGAAAGATCGGTTTGTGCCGTGGATAGATCTGGTGGGATGAATACCTTCAACTTATGAGATTTATTTGGAATTTTTAGGAGATAGAATCGAGCCGTTTATTTTCTTTGTTTCCCCCTACTTTCTGCTTTTTCTTTTCCTTTCTTTTTTTATCATCTAAAATAACATAAAATGAAGAACGTGGTGGAGGATTAGAGCCAAATCGGTTTTATATATTGGCAATTTTAACTAATTTCAAGTTAAGTATGTATGTGTAAAAAAATACTCTCAACTACCCTTCCGCATCCTTTGCGTGGAAAACAACCCACTAGTCCAGCAGATCAAATCATAAAAGTAAAAGAGATAAAGAAAGGGGGAAACATCCAAATCGGTCATTATCTCGTCGTCAGATGACCGGCTTCACATTGTTATCCAAACATTTACGGAGTGCACATAGAAACAACATACTAACCCTATCGCTTCCCTGACTCTGGTGCACATAAAATTACTTGTTCATCTTATCACTTGTATATGCACAGGATCCCATATCCATCTTCACAACCTCAGACTCAGGGCGAATATCGAAATCAAAAATATCCATCGGCACCCCTAAGGTCGTGCACGCATTGGGAATATCCACTAACCCCGCAATATGCCCCTGGACAGGCGCACAGCTAAGCAACAGATAAATTTGGTAATCGTCATAGCCGTAACGGCGCAGATACTCAATCACTCGCAGACAGGTTTCGCGGTACGCAATCGTCGCATCCAGGTAGTGCTGCTTGCCGGTATGGTCGACGCTGAAGCCCTCGAAGGTCAAGTAGCGACCGGGGCCGAACTGCGGCTCAACGGGGCCCGGATGGAAAATGGGAGATTTCATGCCCATGTGCGCCATGCCGCCTTTAATCACGTTGAACTTGATGGTGATTACGCCGGCCATCTCGATGGCGCCGCAGAAGGAGATTTCGCCATCGCCCTGCGAGAAGTGCAAGTCGCCGACGGAGAATTTGGCGCCGGGAACGTGCACTGGGAGATATACCTTGCTGCCGCGGCTGAGGTTTTTGATGTCGCAGTTCCCGCCGTGCTCGGGGCGGCCCTATATGATTGTCTTTTTGTCGGTACCGCGGTGCGTACACTCTTATTACACTCTTACACATTTATGGGTTTAGCATCTTACTTACGGGAATAGTTCTCGCTCCCTCCCTTCCCACCTTCGCCTTGATATCGCCGCTGGCACTGCCTGCGTGGACATTAACGGGCTCGGGCGGCTTCGCGACAACCCTATCCAAATGGGCATGGGTAGTGACAAGTTCACCTTCGCGTCGATTCCACTCAGCGAGGACCTCAGCAGAAGGCGCACAGCCTAGGATTCCCGGATGAATCAATCCCGCAAAGCGGACGTGAGGAATGTGGCGGGATGAGCAGAAGATGCCTTCAAAATCCCATATAGCTTTTGCTCTGTAACGATTTTTAACATCGGTTTCAAAGGTTTCCAAAGGGGGTTTGGCTTTTTAAATTTTACTTACGCATGGGGATAGTGCTCATCCAAGAAACCACCGCCATTTTTCGCGTCGAAGATGCCCGTGAATCCCCACGGCTGGTCTTGGAATGGCTGTACGTCTTGGATTTCAACGAGCAGCACATCACCTGGTTGGGCGGTTTCGATCTCGAAGGGCCCTGTCAGATAATGCACACGGGTTAAGTCAATGTCGCGCATGTCATCGGCGCAATCGTCGTTCTTAATCTGCCCGCCGGTCCAGTCGACACATTCGATCTTGACGACTTCGCCATTCTTGACTGTCGCGCATGAGGGAACTGTGTTGCGGAGGCCAGGTTAGTTTCGTTGCCAAACATGTCCCTGGTGCGTTTGAGACTTGTGAATAGGCACAAAACTCACTGTCTGGATGCCAGCGATTCTATGCGGCAGAAATCACCCAAAATGTTAGCTGAGACAATGTGGTGATAAGAGCGTACTAGCCCAATGCTGGTTGGTATGTATAGATCGATGACATACATGCAAACCATTCTGTTCTCCTGCAGGCTTGTTCCGATCGACCTTCATGGCCGTGCGAATGCCTGTAAGACCCATGGCTGCAAAGTAAACTTGGCCTGTTGGCTAAAAGGTGTAGTAAATAGTAAAGAGCAATGCAGCCTTATCAAAAAGGGGCGTGTTTTAAGACAGATATAGCCCCGTGGAGTGATAAGAGGAAACACTTGTGAGGAGATACCAGAATGGGCGATTTCCCACAAAAGCCAAAGGCAGCTGCTGCGGGGTTCCCAGACTCTTATATATGCCTGTCGGCTCCGATTTTTGGTAGCAACTCCGCGAGTATACGAACGGAGCAGTTCAGGGATCTCTGCCTTGGATATCACAAGTTCCACAATCCCCGCATCGGGAACATGGAGGTTCAAAGTTACAAGTTCGTACAGGGATGATTCGTTTGCTTTCTCGGCAATTATGGCGGTAAAAGGCCCATGCCGGGTTTCGTATATGTCTGGCCTTTGGAGGCCTTGGATTTGAACGGCGTGTTAGTTCGAGTTGTTGTGGAGTTGCGGTTGTTGTTGTTGTTGTCACCAAAGCCTGATACGCTGAGAATAAAGACATTGTCGATACCGGGGATGGCGTGAACATAAACAGAACAAGCCCTATACTTGGTACTTCTACAGCAATTCGTTTCTGGCAGTTAACTGCCTGTCATGATCCGACCGAGAGTTGATGGTGCCTTGGGTCGCCAGCACCTTAACAGACCCTGAAACTTCACAGCCCTGATATTGGAGCCCCTAGCTGAAGTTTCGGCTCTTGGTCCCCACAACGATGTCAAAATGCGGGGAAACCATGAATTAGCTTCGTAAGAACGTGTTAACCTGCAAGCGTGGATTAGAGAATGGGCCGTGAGGTTAACAATCCCTAAAGATCCATCGACTGAGCCATTCAGCCATTTCCCTGCGTTTGAAGCTTAACGAACCCCTCATCCAACCCCCCTTCATCCCCCAACCGCCAGCTGGGTGTGGAGAGGGCATTACCTAGTGTTATAGATCTCTTATCACCTGCCATGGGGTGGCGGTTCCGGCAGCACTGGGCTCAAAACAAGACCCAAACACCACAGCAGAAATAGGTTTGCTGAAGAATGCTGACTCTCTGACAAGGACTGGATGTCCAATTCATCCACGCTCTTAAATCTACATTCAGCCGAACGAACCAGTTTCTATACCTAGTATACTGGTCGTTTCTCGGCCTGCCCGTTTGGGAGGTTAGTTAGCCCTAACTAGCCCTAACCCTAACAACATGCCCAGAATCAAGTCAACCCTCGAAGGCTGTTTGCTATCGCGAACACCGAGGGATGCAAGATCTAACCGTATTACTTCGTCCAAACAAGCTGTGAGAATAGCTCCCGTGAGGAGGGGCATGGCCAACTCCATCTATCCGCCCTCCAGCCGTGACAGCAACTGGCAGTGGGTTCTCCAAGTTTTCCAGAAGACGCTGCTCGGTTCAATAGTAGCCAGAAGGAGCTCCGTGTTGGCTTCAGAGGGACCGTTTGAAACTACTAGCCTTGCAACCGACACGCCCCCATCTGGCTGGAAGCCAAGGAGAAATTAGGCAACCCTACTTCTTGGCTGAATCGATATAGAAGGACTTCAGAACGCGAAACGAGGGGAAGTGCCAAAAGAAAATGCCTCTCAGCATAAGCGACCTGCCCGCAGAAGTGTTACTCCAAATTGCCCTGGATATCAGACGCCCAATCCATCGGTTACACCTTGCTTTGTGCTCTCATGCCTTCGCTGACATATTTCTTCCCATTGTTTTCCATGATATCCAGCTGAACGATCCCCATGCCAAGGTTATCATTCCTCTCGTCCAGACGCTTCTCCGCAACCCGCACTTCGCATCATGTACTCAAACTCTTGGGATACACGAATGGTCGACGGAACTCAATTATGAGGGTAATAGCTATGATCCACCAGAAACCCTTCCGTTGCCCAATTCGGAGTTGGTCTTTGACCAAGACCTTGCCCACGACGCCGTCCAACGGCTTTTCGCTGCCAGCGACGAGCGTGCGCTATCCAAATTCATGGCTCATCTTTCCGCTGCAAATGAAGATGCATGGATCGGCTTGCTACTATTATCTCTCCCTAACTTGAAAGAATTAATCATGTCTGTGCCATATGGCTGTTTTTTCCCACGCATACTCGCCGAACGTGTGGCGATAAGGTTCCCACCATTTGATTCCCGACCAGCATTGACCCGCCTTTCCCATGTGTTCGCCAAATGGTATGATAGCGAGAACTCGCTGGAATCTGCAGTGCTAGAGCCCTTCTTTTTCTTCCCATCTATGGGCAAGGTTTCTGGCGAACAAATTGCACATTGCTCACCAGAAGAAGAAGAAGAAGAAGAAGAAGAAGAAGAAGAAGAAGAAGAAGAAGAAGCAGATGCATTTGAAGAGCTTAAAATTGTTGACAACGGGCGCATTGCGTATTCAAAAGATAAGCCCACGACTTCCACAGTGGCTGAAATAGACATGTCGAGAAGCAGTACCAATAATGGCATGATTGACCAAATTAAAATGTGCAAGAACCTCAGATCATTCAGATTCGAGCATGCCGACTCCTTTGAATATAACTCTAGTTTCCTACCAAAAGACTTTGCCCGCTCTCTCACACATGTCAGACACAGTCTCGAAAGTCTCTGGCTGAGCTATGATGACTATCATTTCAATGGTCAGATTTACCAGGCAGACGACGAGACTTTCGGTTCCATGGATGACTACCCCGTCCTGAAATCAGTGTACATATCAGCGAAACATCTTATAGGGAGTGACGTGCTGCGCAACTCAGACAACAACCCTTCGAACCTGGAAAATAGCCAACGGCTGGCACGTATGCTCCCCGCTTCGATCCAGTCGCTTACACTAGCCAATGTTTCCAAACGCGACTACCTCGGTGTCCTCAAACAGTTGAAGAATTTAGTTGAGCCGCCCAACCTCTCGCAATACACACCCCGGCTCAGTGTTTTAAAAATTCAGGGGGTTTTCTCCCGAATCTACGAGCCGAATCAGCCCGGCATTGCGGTGACGTTAGATGGGCCGGGGCCGGTTATCCCTCCAGAAATTCTGGACCCCGCTGAAGAGCTGCGGGATTTATGTGCAGGAGTTGGGATTGGGTTTGAATTGGTTGATACGCATACTCTTTGGTTCAGAGAATTGAGGAAGAGGTGGAATGGGTGAAATGCCAGGCTGGTCTTGACTCGGAGCCGCCATCCCCAGACATTATTTTTTTGGTGGTTTGCTCCCACTATTAGCCACTTTCAACTATACAGATCGTGATTGTTGTATTGTTGTATTGTTGTATTTATTTATTTTTAGATTATATATATATATATATATATATTAACTCTCCACCTTTTCTGAAATGTGAATAGTCGATCCCATCGAATTTCAGATCGGAAAAATTATGTAGATACAAAATGTAGATGATAAAGAAAGCTATAAAGAACGAGTATGATTTCTGATTGCCATGATACTTCGTCGCTCAGACACGAGCAAAGGAAAGATAAGAAGGTTGCCCCAAGCCAGACAAAGGCAGAAGCCATCAAAAAAGTTAGTATTACCCCCCCAACTGATCGGCCGGAACACCAACACCCTTCCTCGCGGACACACACGAAAACCGAATCGGCCTTTTTACCTTCGCCACATCCTCCAATTGTTCCAACGGCTTATTTGATCCGTCCGTCTCCCGCGTCTCCGGAATCAGCCACTTTGTAACCGCAGCCCCAAGTAACATAAACGCCGCGAATATAACAATCACATACCCCAGCCATTCTGCACCGGGATCCGAAGATCGGTACGGCCCAATGGGTGAGTATGCAACGAACGCCTGCACGACCACAGACGCAATCTTGCCCGCTGCGGCGGAGATGCCGTGTGCAGCGCAGCGGAAGCGGGAGGGGAAAAGCTCAGCGGGGATCATGAAGGTGGTGAAATTTGGGCCAATCTCGAAGAATATCTGGCTGAGGACGTATAGGAAGGCGATAAGTGGGACGGACGCGTGACGGCTCACTGTTTCGAAACTGATGCCGATGCCAATCAGGATGGCTGTTAAGACCAGGAAGCCGAACAGCTGTATTGTGCGTGGGGAGATGCGTTTTGTCAGCTTGATCATACCCAGGCCGCCGATCATGGAGCCGATGGAGACGATTATTAGCGAGTGCCACGAGTTTTCAACGAGGTCGGTGTAGATGCTACGAGTTGGGAGTGGGAGAGGAGGGCCCCCAGCTTCTCGCGTGAATTTCAGGGATTTTTCGTTGAAGATTTTAGAGATTACTTTGTAGGAATTCGGCCCAAGGGCATAGTAGGCGAAATCGAAGCAAGCCCAGGAAAGGGACGTGCCAAGTAAAGTGGGCCAATGCCCATTTGTGAAGAAGTGTTCTACAAAACCAGTGTAGAATCTTTCCCACTCGCTTGGTTTCTCCTCGCCAATATCTGAATCGTCATCGCCCTCTGCAGGTCGGCTATCGGGCTCATCAATTGTGGTGATAGAGCTTGTTCCTGAGATGGGGGGAGGAACGTTCGGACTGGGTATTGATCCACTGCGCGCATTTCCGCCAAGGCCGCCGAGAATCTGGTGTTCGGCCATTTCAGAGACGTTAGAACAAGTTTTATTCTTCTTATTATTGGCGGCTTCTTGGTTTGTTGTTTGCTTCGAGACCCCCGCCAAGGTCGTAGTGGGGATATTTCCGGCAAGATTTCTTGAGTCTGAAGTTTGCAGCTCAAGATCGAGTGCACGGTGAGGAGTACGGACTGCTCGTTTCCACCCCATTCCATTAACATCTTCTAGTGCCTCGTCTGGACGATTTAGAACTTCCATTGTATATCTGGGAGACTCGGGGATGCTAATTCGGAAAAGTATGGCGATCGCTGCCGGTATGGCTCCTGCCCCTATTACCCAGCGCCAAATTCTATCTATTGTCCGTCGGCATAATTCGTCATCAGTACATGATATGATGCTGTCGACATTTGTAGGTATATTGGTCGGGAGCCCATTCTTGTTCGCCAAGGTAGCAAAAAGAGCGACTAACGTGGCAACTAGATATCCGCACGGCTGCATGAAGAAAACAGTGGCAATCATCCGAGCACGAGACTTAGTAGGAGCGAACTCAGACGTTATTACTGCGCTCAGAGGATAGTCCCCACCAATCCCAATCCCCATTAGGAACCTCCAGGATATCAACCATCCAACAAGATTCATTGATTTCGACGCGCCATCCGAAGCCATTGTCACTCCGACTGTCGCGACGATAACAACGAGCAGTTCAAGCCCGTACATTTTGCGCCGACCATAAAGGTCCGCCAGAACACCGAATGCATATTGGCCAATAATGGTTCCAACGAGGGTGGCAGCGCGCATTGCAGTTTCGATTGTTGCGGGCATCGCTCCATGCCAGTAGACATGAGAAAGCATGGGGATTATGATCCCCACTGCGAAAATCTGTCAAGTGGTTATGAAGTTTCAGTTATTTACTGTTGCTGGACGAATGTATTCCAGTTGGCATCACATACATCATATCCATCCGTGAAAAAGCCTACACCGGCAACGAACACAACCAGACCCTGAAAGTGGGTGGCATCAAGCTCGTCAAAAACTCGACAGCGTCTGAGATGAAGGTCCTATCAGAATTAATGTATTAATTGAGCCCAAATAATAGCTTTCTGGTTCAGTCACACACCGGAATATGATTAAAGTTAACTGTACGATTCTTGACCTGGAAACCGATAGGGAATTTCATCACTGGCAATTATGTCTTCAAGAATATGATTTGGAGATGACCGTAAGTCCATCGAAAGGAGCGTGCGGAGCTAAAGTACATCGGGAAGGATTCATAACGAAAAGCTGTTCTTCGGTCGAAGAGGGCGCGAGCGGGTCTTATTCTTGCATGGAGCTATTAGATATAGCTGCCACAAACGCGTAGCAGGGAGGCCGGTGTAAAACCGAGCCGTTTGGCCAAGGTTGGATGTTCCAGAGTATATCTCATCTGTGATGCCTATGGGGGAAGTTCGGTTTCATGGTGTCAGATGGTAAAGGTGAGGGAAGTCCAAGCCCCAAACCTCAACGGAACTGAGAAATTAGGCAAATTTCCACTTCCGTATGATCTTAATAAAAATGCAAAATAGGAGGTTGTCGAAGCACTAAACATTGGGAACTGTCAGGATTTCTAGGCCCATACACAGGGCCAGAAACAACCACGAGGTTGCAAGGGTCAAGGCTAAAAACGCCACATGAGAGGATCCCTGAACTTGTCAAGTATTCCTTGGCATGGGACGCACGGCAAACAGGGCATGGATAAAATCCTGGAGATCTATGGGGAAAGTCGAAATATCAGCTTCACAAGTAGTATGAGACAAACATTTTTTTTTTTTTTTTTTTTTATCTCAGGATTAAGCTGTGGGCGGTTACTTACCTGCAGGAGATGTAAACGTAATTTTCAAATTCTGCATTGGGGAGAGAAGCTTTAGCTCAAGAACATAGTTTCGTGATGAAATTTTGTAGGTGGGCATAATTTCTTTTTCTAAAACAACGGTCAGCGAGAGAACCTTGGTTCTTCATGATTCTCACCAATGTGATTAAATACCGTCAATTTCGATATACTTCCTATGGGATCTCGCAGTAGCGAAATAAAGCAGAGATCGAGGATGTCCAGGTGACGCAGATTCCCATAGCCGGATGTACTGTCGGTCTGATTCCTTTCCCTGAGCAGAGGACATCTTTTTTATAACTGTAGCTAAAATCAATTTCCTGCCATAGACCAAGCTCTGGAAACCGAAGTGATCTACCAATAAAAAAAAAAAAAGAATTGAGATGTTAGTCAAAATGGAATGAATTACAAAGTCGATCACAGTATCAAGCAGACCTTTTTGGTTCTCAAAGAAATACTGAACTCTTACTTCTCCCCGCTTCATAGCTGGAGGTTTAACGAAGTAAACGCGAAGAGCTTCTTCAGGGTCATCCCGTGGACCTGGCGGCTCCATGTGGGGGATCGGCCGTTTCTCGGCTGATGATACTAGTAATCATTTCAGTCCCTGTTCCTATACTGATCGGACTGAGATAGTGTTACCCGAACATTTTATGATGGGGAGTTCTCGCAGGGGATCCTGGAGATCAACTGCTTTAATAGCGTACAAACGGCCATCGCTGCGGTGGCCTGTTTCGAGTGTACAGTAGAATGGAGAGGTACAGTTATCCCAAAGACTACCGAATGGAAATGGAATTAGTTGACCGCCGTAGCTTGCAAGGGTGATTGGACAACATACACTTTCACCCAACCATCTAGCTTTACAGGTTTCCAATTTCTTTGTCCCCCCGATTCGTTGGATGACGCAAAACTAGGACGATGCGATGGTTCCGTTTCACTCGATGGCGAAATAGTAGAGGTCGGCTGGAATTTATGTTCGTATTTCCATTTTTCTTGACGGGTAGTGGATGAGGGCCTGCGTTTCATGGGCAGGACATTAGAGTTAACCATCAAAGGATCTATGCTGTCAACAGTGCTGGTAGTTGTAGTTCGCGAAGGCGGGTTAAATGAAAATACCGAAAGCAAGGGTGACGCTGATCGAGTTGCTGTAGATGTTGTTGATCCAGTTTCAAACCGATATCCACTTTCCTCATGTAGGGGAGGAAGTGGACTTGTTGATTCATAGTAGCACACGTCGTTTTCTGTAGAAGCCCTTTTCAAGGAAGACTCTAGGGTACTTCGGGAAAGTAGAGGCTTATTGAGTTCAAAGTGGGAAGGCCATGATCCATTTCTCTGTTGAGCCGACAAGTTTGCCTTTCGTTCTATAGCGTTGAGGACCCTCCGGTGGAAAAGATCAAGCTGGTCGCATATGGCCTCCCACTCCTCGTCCTCACCAGCCTCCGCACGGCTTCTTTCCAACATGGCAAATTCCCTCTGACGTTCGACCGCTGCCAGAATTGCGTGATATCTGTCGGTTGCGTAGGTGATACCGGTGTCGATCGGGAATGAAAAGGAAACGCCCCGATCCAAGTGTGCTGGCAGGTTGCTTGGCATTGGCATTGTCTCTGTACGCAACTCCGCAATCATCTTTTCCATGCTCGTCAATCGATTTTTGATGCCAACTGTTTTCTCCCTAAACACTTGTCAGAATCTTAAATCTCCAAGAAGCCCGCGGCAAATAACACAGCCCGAACCTTTCGAGTACAGTGAGATATAATCCCAGTGATCGCTTATGCCGCTCGATTCTTTCCTGCAAAGCTATAATATCCTTCTCTCCCCACGCCAAGTGCCTGACAACCTCCCCTCCTATGCGAGTCGCATTTTTGGATTTCTCCAAAATCTCCCTTGATCTGAGAATGCTCAGTCGCGGTCTGCGTGGTTGAAGCTGGTCGTTTCCTGAAAACTGCTGTTGTAAAGCCGAATACTTTGCCAGGTGTTCTCGGCATTCTCTTAACGTATTTTCCACCCCGCGGAGCTCGATACAAGAGACTTCGTCTGTCTCTTCGAGAGCATGTTGGAAACGTCTTAGTAAATTCTCAAATTCCAGAACGTCTTCCTGAAGCCCGATGATAGCCTGCGCGGCGCTTGTGGGCCCGTGTCGGCAATTGACGACGATATAATGGCATATTTCGACTAGCTTGAAGACATCTGAAGGAGAAAACCCAAAACTCATGACGAACCAGCTATTCCCTCAGGGTTAACTTCACAAACGAAACCCAAACAACTGGCGAGGTGGCTCATACGTCACAATGAATCTGCGTTGCAATATGGTAATCAGGAAGACGAGCGATCCACCGGCTGCGCATAGCTTTGGTGATACTTGCTGAAATCGAAAATGGTTAACAGGTCGAAACAAGTTGTGCCGGATTAGGAGTATTGGTATCTCCCAATACCATACTTTATATCCCTTGACGAAACAAATGGTGATACCTGCGAGTATTGATGGGTTTTGGTCATCGAGCATGCAGCTCTTCCATCATTCTGGACAGAAAGCTGCTGCTCGGTTGACATGCCTGACGTGATAACCTCTCAGGGACTGCCAAGCCAAACAAAGGGGACCATCTGTCAGCTTTCGAATGTTCAGTCAGCGGGTCAAGAGCAAATGAACCCGGGCGCATATGAGGCTTGCTCGTGGAAGTCAGGAGTTCGGGAAAAGTTTTCCCTAGGGCACAAATAATGTATATGACGTTTCCATTTCTCGCCCCAGACCGAGTCGAGCGCGCCTCATTCTTTCGTGGCAATCTCCAACCAGGCTGTACCAACAAGACAGGCGGAGAGGATCAGAACCCTCCACAGGTCAAAGACATAGCATGGCGGCATCACTGCTCTCTCGTTCCTTGAGCATTCAGGGGCGGAAGAGATGATGAATTTGTGGAGTGGTTCACGGCGGATAGGAAAATGGCGGCGGTGCACGTTTCCAATCCATTGGACGGGACAGCTATACATAATCTGCAGCCTAAGGTGCAATGCTTTGACCTTGTCCTGCAGCCTGCAGGACCTCCACGTTAGTTCAAAATAGGTTGTGGTGGTAGACGCCTAGGGGGTTTGCGGCACAAGGCTTCTTGTGTTGAATTGGAATAACTCTGATACAATCAGTCCGGCAATATTTTACCGCATACTCCTCAAGAAAACAAGGGGGATTAATTGTAACTTTAAAGACGTTGAAAGTAAAGACGAAATAAATTAAAAAAAAGAAAAGAAAAGAAAGAAAAGAAAAAAGGGGAAAAAAAAAAGATAGCCGAACGCGGGGGTCGAACCCGCAGCCTTGCGGTCACATGAGGGTGACATAAGAGCCGCACGCTCTACCGATTGAGCTAGCCCGGCGCTTGGTATTGCAGCCGTATTTCCCCGCAGATCAATATATCCGCTTGCCATTCGCGATCGTTCGGACCTGCAATTTTCAACGACATCCCATCCATCCAAAGAATCTGCCAACTGATGCTAGGACAGGACGAAACTAGCTGGGAACACAGGACCTCTTGTTGAAGCTCCAAGGCCCGATGTAGCCTTGAGGTTGGAGTATCGCTGACGGCAGCCCGCAGTCCGCCAACCATATTTGAGCGGTGGACAGATGGAGTCATCAGCGTCACCAATCTTCCCCGAATGGCACCTCAACCAGCGGAAATGGACATTCAATACCTTGCTCAATCATCCTGGATGGAAAAGAGACTGAGAAAGGTAACTCTCGCCAGCCCTGAGAATGATTCCGAAAGAGAAGAACCTGGCCAACGCCTGCCAAAATCTGGCATGGAATTTTGTGGTCCCCATTCTAACAAAGATTATGATTATAAAATATGAATCAACCATAACCAGGGGAAGTGCCAGGACACATTTCAGTTACATAGGCCCCGAGGAATTGTGAGAAGTGAAGCAATGTTTTAGAAGCTAGCCTTCTAAAAACCCTTTTTGTTGTCCAAACTCCTCGCTGTTTTCAACCCCAATTCTTATAGCATCCAGCGGTGGTCAGTTGCGTCTTCGTTCCGAAGAAGCTGAAGGAAACTAGACGCAGGATCCATGAAAGATATCTGCTTATAGTAAATATTCAGACTGATAATCGGAAAACTAATGGCCGTTCTAACTAAGGGCCATTAAATGGAGATATAAGTTACCGGACAAGAGTTCCCCGGCATTCCAGATATTGCAGGACTAGAAAGGCCCACGTTTTCGCACCTCAACAATATACAGCGCCAGGCGACAAATATTGGCAACCCCCACCACAATCAATCATGGTGCCCTTTTGTGGCAGAAGAGTAGTGGGGGTTTGCCATTGCTAATAGCCTACCTAGTACAGTATGTTGATAACTGCTGGGACCAGCCTGTTTCCTGCAATTCGCTAACACTATCCTCCCGACTCGATGAATTTGTGACTTCCTTTGTTGATGGTCGTCTCCTGAAATCCGAAGATTGGATGTATTAAAGACCACTATATCCAGATGCCAATTCTATGTGACCAGGACAAAATATATGGCTGAACGAATCGAAGCCGGTTCAGAGAAGACTTTTATGATTATACCCTCAAAAGCCCAGCTGCCACAGTGGCTTTTGGACTACTAAATCCTCTGTATACTGTTTATCAAGCCTCTCAGCACCCGTCCCTTATGACCAGCTAACCGGTTATATGTTTCCTGACTACGCGTGCGCGCTGTCAGCTATCCACAAGCATTTGGATTTTCTATCCCTACCATGAACAACGCAAGAAATCAGGCTTTGGCTACCTACCAGACCCAGGCTGACAGGCGGACAGAAATTGTTAACGCACCCACCCAGAAAATTACAAACTGTTTCCGCATGTTGATTATTATTTGGACGACTGAGTCGAGCGGCTTTTGCTATATGGACTACTCCACCGGAATCTTACCCAATTCCCCAACGCGGGGATGTCCCCGCTCTTGACGACACGAGGAGACGTGCCAAGATCTCTTCCCGCAACCATTCCCTTCGCCGAACGGACTGGAGGTGTCGGGTTAGCCCGAAAACCATGGATTGAAAGCGCTGCTAGAGATTGAACGGCAATGATGAGGAATCCTGAGTGTTTGCGGAGCTAAAAATAGAGAAGACACCAGGGTGGCGGAGACGTCAATCTAGTAAACATCGACATGAAGACTCGGGATGGGAGCTAGAACATTGTTTCTCTCAAAAAAAAGTCAGGAATTTTACCCCAGGTGGAACACTGTCAGAGGAAGATGACACCCCCCTTGAGGTGATGATGCAAGCGAGAATGTATGCCAATTGAAGCTGCTATCGAACCTGAGATTCGCCCCATATATTATCTGGAGTTTCGACAGGCATGCCGTTGTCTGATTGGAATCGGGAAACAGGAGAACCACTGGTGATTGACGTATGGCGCAAAAGGGCGGAAGTTGAAAAAGAACTTGGGAGCCCGGGCCCCTGGAGGAACGCTGCACGTACTCCGTATCAAATGGAGTGCGTCTCACGGATATTTAGCATGGTATCCGGTTGGAGATACGTTGATTCTCCCCGCTTATTACCGGGACTTCCACCAAGAGAACCCGACGGCAGAGCATAAATTTCTGCAATAATAAGACCGGGAAGTAAATTGCTATTTACGGGGTTTCTTCGGTTACAGTGAGAAGATAGTAGGAAGAGTTAAAAATCAGAGTTCCATGCCTATCTCCGCATATTTTAGGGAAAAGCACCCTGGCTTCTCTTTGTTCTGCCGAGCGAGGCATTCGAAGGCCTCAGGGAGGCCTGCGAATGCAAGCCCTTCCTCCCCCCTCAAGCACCCCACAATGCACACTACGTAATCGAGATAGCATGTGCAGTCGTGTGATCAAATTCTCCAAACAGTCACTCATTCAGCATGTCACCATAACGGAAAATCTTGGCTTAGCAGATACTTATTGAAACAAGAAGCAAAGACGATTGCCATCGACCCCACAGCGAGAATTCACAAACATAACGAAGCAAGACTAACAACATGCTAGATTCGGTGGAATGGATACAGGAGTTGAGAGAGCGGAATCACACAAAGTACTCCGCAAATAATGTTATTTGTGAGTTTTTATTCCCTCTCCCATTGCCATAGCATTCAGTTCTAACGCAGCCAGTCTTACTTGGTTGGTTAAATCTATTCCTGGACATTTTCATTTGCGCTTGCAAAGTTAAAATCGACAACTAACCAATCCAGCCCTAAAGTATTTTAAGTCATTTTATTGATGTCGTGTTAAACAACAAACTCAATTTGAATAAGATATTCAAATTAACATTGCATAGATCCACTAGCGTTCCAAGCCAATGGCATCCGAATGACTGTGATCGATATTTAGGCAATTCTGCATGACTTCACTAATTGGAGTCTTAACTCCGCACTACTAACCTCCATATCCTCCATATTCTTCACCCATTCATTCCCCGTCTATCGTTCGTTACCTACTGGGACACCAGAGTTGATCCCAACAGAGACTGGAATGGTTTGGCTGAATTAATCAAGATTTCCGATTATCCAATAAGCAAGGATGAAATGACAAGGGAGAGTCGCAAGGTGAAATCCCCCAAACCAACTCTGCAGAACCCTGACTCCAAATGCAGCTAATATACTCCCTAGTTTCCTGCTGTCATCGCAGTTTGTTCTTGGGTGTGATCGCTCAGAACTCAGCGATATACTATTGTGGCATCTAGTATTGGGTTCAGTTTTAGATCACTGGCTAGAAAATGAAGCCGATGGTATGTCGAGTTTCAACTCAGCATCACACCCAATGAATGTCCCTTCCCTCAATGGTGGTTCATCTTACATACATGTTTACCATGTATAATGTTTCTCTAGCCACCCCCGCATGTGTGATGCGGGGGAATTCTTATGCTCAGGATATTGATATCTATCCCGGATTGAAACATTCGTTGCAGAGTGCCCAGACTCTAAGCGAAATGTATCTTTGGGTTCCATTAACCCCATTTTGCAGCCATCGAAGCGAGGGATATGAAATTCAAGGGTCTGAAGGGTATAAATAGTCTAGACAAATTCCCTCTTTTTGTGCCTTTCTTTCTCTCTCTCAGACTGATGGGTAGTAATTGAGGTAAGACTCCCTTTATCCATCGTTTTGTATTTTCATATATTAACTCATTCTTTGTAAGAATAGCAGATTCGGACAATCTACAATCTCGCGGCCTAATCGTACAAAAGCGCAATTTCCTCAACCCTGACAGACATAAATTATCCAGGATGGTTGGTAGCGACACCCGGGAAGTATACATTATTTGAAACATGACTTGCTAATGCTGTTCAGAAACTATCCGGAGCAGCCGTTCTCGCCCTTCTTGCATCTTCTACAACAGCTGCGAGCTGGAACTGCCACAGCTCGGGCGGTGGTGGCCACCAAACGCTGTTACAGCTCCACGGCCAGTTCAACAGGCTATTTGGAAACTCGAAACTCCATATCGCAAGTGACCAATGCTATTACGCTAAATGCTACAGGCACTACTTTGGAGTTTGCAACCGCGCCTCCTACACTAAATGGGAAAAATCAGGGGACCGGAATATTGCGAAGAATGCCAATCCTGGAGGAGGTTCTAGCTGCGCAATATCTCCGAGTCCCGTTCAGGAACCTTACCTAGTCTATATTTTCAGTCATGAAAAAGACATTTCTATCGGCGGCAGAAAGAACGACATCAGGTATTGCTAAGTTTGATCGCATGCCAATTGACCACTCGACTGTCGGCTTAGAAGAACTTTGCTACTTACTAACAGGCAGTATCTTCGCTTTATACACTTGTATCTACTATATCTGTTGCTGGATGAATATAAGGATAAATAAAGCACCGCTTACTGCTTTTCGGTGGATGGGGCGTGTTTTCTAGTCTGATTAGTGAAAACATTCCCGAGAGACCTCCAGGCTTTAGATTCACGAGATCAAGCATGTTTATTTATCATTCATTCATTCACTTATTCTATTTGCCGTTTTATTTATATATTTTCTTCCGTTCGCAAAGTCCCCTACTATGAGCCATTTCGTGGACATCATTGCATTTTCTTCATAGGGAAATTGAAAATACTTAAATCCTTGTGCAGACCGTTAAGGGAATAAATATCTTTCCAGATGATTTCACTTGCTTCAATGAATCCATCTGCTGATCTCTCCACCGTGAAAGCCATGAACACAACTCATAAATATATGCAGGCGGCCCCAGCAGGTCTCCACCAGCCCTTTCAGGTCTCCCAGAAAAAAAATACACACATCTCCATGTCTCACTCTCATATGCCTGTTCAAGTTGCCCTTCCTCATCCCTTTACCCTTTCCAGTTGAATGCTTACACCTCGTAACCGGGCAATGCAACAGCGTGAAATCCAGGGCCGACTCAGAATGCTTCGATTTGGGTGCCTGGTGAGATCCTTGCGGAATCGAAATGCCCCATTGCATTCTTCTTTCCCCACGATCATACGTTCACATTTGTATGGAAGCGTATGCCTTTCCATATGGTTGCAGCATGCGGGGAACCAGTTAGAAGAATACAATATATCTCCTTGTAGTGATTGGTGTGTATATGGCACACTAGAAATACAAGCAGCGAGGGCATGGCAACAGCTTACGTCAGTTTGTGTATCTTCCAAAAGGTAGTTGGGCACTCGGGACATCTGTAAGGAGTAGCTATTCCTGGAGCATGACTAGATGGTTTAGACGGTGGAAGCAGCTTTGCACAGTGAGCCTGGAGGACTATGCATATCGGTGCCGGTATTTTCGTCCGAATAAATCACACTTTCTGCGCCGTGACCCCTGAACGGATCCTGCTCCTCTGTAATCACTGCCATCGACCACCCTTTCTCAAATCTGTCTCGGCTTTGGTTCTCGTCTCAAGGGCCCGCTGGTGTTGCGATATCGGCCCCGGGTTACGAACATCTAACCAACGTGGTTCGATGATACGGATGTGAAATCAACAGCGCTGCTGCGTTCATCTTTGAAAGATTGCCAACGTCATACCATTCGTAACTAAGTTACGTTTAACCTACATACGAAAACTGAGCTGCCCTTCCTTCCCTTTATCCAATTCAGCCCTCTCTCCATTAGCAATATGCCAATGGGCCAGGTCTCTCGCTGCAAGCGCATCCTCTAGGCTATCGTGGCCTTTCTTGTCTGCATTTTGGATATCCCGCCCCAGTCTCACTCTAGCTAGTGTCTTGAGCGACAAGCTGCCACTCCCTTTATTTCTCTTCTTCCGCGGCTCCTGTTCAGCCTTTCCAGGGGCACCGTCGGGTTCCGCCTTTAGATCCGATGACTCCTTTTGTTCTGTACTACCTTTCATCTCTTCCGACTCTTCGCCCTCATGTAGTTCGTGTTCATGTTCATGTTCATTTCCCGCAGGTTCTCCAGCCAGGAGTAGTAGCTTATCTGTCTCAACAGCTACTTTTCCATCTTTAGTCTTATCAGCATCTTTCTTAGATTCGCAATTCTTTTTCTTTTCCAGTAGGTCTTCGATAATATACGTGTCCACGACAGCAGTATGGATCCACCTCAACGACTCTAAGTCATTATGGGCCGAATGCCCAACAACAACAGTCTCAGGTCCGACGTATCTCCACACGGCGAATCGAGCATTGTCTCTTCCCATAATACAACTCCCAGCTGTTTTTGCAGCTTCCATGTCTCGCCTATTGACACCAGAGAATCGAGTCCTGTAGTGCTCCATTTTCACGCTCGGATACACGAGGCTATCAATGAGCACGGCCGACGAGAAGTAATCTATCAGCGTAATCCGGATGAGCTCGGAATCTCCAGACGCTGCCTGACCCATTTCACAGTCAATGGCAACCGCCGCACGGATATCAGGAGTGTGCATAATTGGTGGCCGTGGAGTCGGGTGAAACTGCCAGAGTCTCGTCATATCTCCTGGGCGATAGAAGCGAACGTGATGCTGCTCAGCACCGCCGCAAGGATCTGAAGCGATTGGCTGATTACAGCATGACCATATCTAGATGAATGGACCCATGAGATTTGTGTTTTACCAGTTGATCGGATCTAAATAGGAATTATTGTCACAGGCAGTGACTTTTATTTTTGAGGTAAGAGAATATGCCAATAAATACCTTTTTATTCCTATTCCACGTCGGTGTACCTGGATGGAACTTGCAGCGAAACACTTTCGTCTTCGGTTTTTGCTTAGTATCATCATCATTCTTGCAATTGCCGTCAACTTTCTCCTGCTGTGATAAGGTCTTTTCTTTGTTTGCATCGTGGTCTGATTTACTTGGGCGATCGATGGAATTCTTGCGCTTCTCCTTCCGCTGCCTCCTCTCTTGTGAGCGTAAATATTTCGCCATGGCTATCCATCAGTCAGCTCCATGGACCATATATGAGGATAATGTAGGTAATCAAAAAGGATAAAAAGACAAAAAAAAAAAAAGGACATATAAAGCCGGAGGAAGACGCTTACACATGCCGCACCCACTGCATCTTTTCTTCAATTCCAGGTCCTCCACAGACAGAGGGTTGAGAACATACCCAACCTTCTGAAGGCTATCTGGATTGGCAACAAGCGAATTCAGCTGGAACATATATTCAGGAGTTGCTTCGAGGATACTATGAGCCCCCTCTTGTGTTTGATCCGTGGCAACGGTCTGCCTCATGATTAGGGATGAGCCACCGCTACGCGTGGATGTCGTGTGGCGCGGCCTTCCAGAGGTTGGTAATGGATGATGAGGCGGCTGCTCACTTCGATTGTGCTGCTCTTGATTTAGCCTTATCGCTGGACGAACCGACGCAGGATGTGTCTGCGCTGAAATGGGTATAAACGGGGGGGAGTGTGTATTCAGTTGTTCTCTTTTGGGTTGCTCTAGCTCTTGATCCATGATGAATTTGTTCCGATTTCGCTCATTGGTTCTTCCCGTTGGGGGGAGAAGGGTAGGAGGGTGCTGAACAGCTCCAGGGCCATTATTTGATGCTAGTAAGTTTATATTTTCGCGCTTTGGTATATTTTTGCCCTTTTTGAAGGATCTCCGGGAGTGAGCGTTGGCTTTTGTTTGAGTGGAGGTTGATGGTGGAAGCGATGATGGGGATGAGGACTGCATTGTCCTTTCCTGCCCTTCATGGCGTTCCGGTCCCGTTCTTGCTTTGGGATCCGGTGGATTCATTGTGAAAAATCACGCTTTTGTAATTATCTGGACTGCAAAAGTTAGCGGCGTTGGTAGCAGTTAAAGCAAACCACAGCTTGCACAATTGTCTCACTTTCATTGACAAACACTCCAGTGCTCTCCAGTAAGGCAGCAGGTAAACCCACTCCGAATCAGCGTGGTAAACAGGCTTAAACAACATATGCATGTATATGGAGTGTACATAAAACCCGTTAATTTCCCTCTTGGTTTCGAGGGCAAATAGGCGGGGATACCAAGATGAGGAGGACGTCCTTCCCAGCACCTTATATACCAAGAGTCAAATATCGAAACGGAACTGCAACAACATCCCCTCACATAAACACAGTTTGAGGCCTGCCGCGCAATTGCTGCAAGGGTTGATAGAATTCCTTACTTCATGGATTGCAGATGCGCCAATCAAACGGAGCCCAACCCAACACCTGGGAACACGATAAGGCAGCCCCAGGGCCAGCCACCAGATTCCTTAACTTCTAGCGCTTAATTTCAGCGAACAACTTTGATTTTGTCATTGATTCAGTCAGTTAATTATGCGTGCTCTATGAGTCATTTCCGCCTTGTGGATACGGTGTGTGGAGGAGGGAGAATGAGGGGGGGAAACCCGTAACAGAAGTAGAATTAAACGAGTAATAAGATCGAGAGATGAAGTGCATTTGACTCAATTCTTAGCCACACAACTCCAGATGAGTTCATGGAGCATGCATGCATATGAGGCCTTCAACATGTGCGACGCCTCCTCCGTCTTTGTGCTTTTGGCTTCCCGTTTGCTCTATTGAACTCTTGTTAGTAAAAATCGTCCAGCAATAAGGACATTCTGTGAAAATCCGATCAAGATGAAAAATAAAACGGCACATACGTTCAGCATTGAGATGAAACGATACAGAGGACAGGAGAGAAGACGGAGGAGTTATCAATCACTTTCTTTATATAAATAACCACCACCTTGACTTGGAGGATCGCAGACATACTAAATATCGAGCACTCACCTACTGCGCTAGAAACCGGCATACAGGAGCCGAAGACGCTGCCACTCGCCTTCCACACCGCACAGAGCTACGAGCATGTCCGTCTGTCTCACTGTCATTGATATTCCTGATATTCCTGCGTCAAAAATACCTGGCCTGCATCCGGCCTGCTGAGTCAGCCACCCGGTCTTGGCGGCCAAACATCTCCAGCTTCCAAATCCCAACAACAACCGCAATCCACAATCCACAATCCACAGTGCAATTGCTCTCCTCCCCTCCGGTCCGCCCCCCGCCCGTCCTCTGCCGCTGCGGATATCCTGTCTCCATTGTGTTGGTGCCCCTCCGCTCCCTTCCTGTCAACCCTCGAGTAGTCATGTTCCGCCCCGTGATCCCTCGTCTTGCCGCTGGCCGGACAGTTACCCGACCATTCCCACAATCACAAATATCGCCTGCCTCAGCTCCCCTCTCCGGTACCTATATCCTTAGATATTCCAGAAGAGGCTATGCTACGAGCTCAGGTGAGGAGACCTCTATCAGCGTTGTCAATTGCGCACCAGCAGTCCATGGAAATCAACCGCTGACATCATCATCCTCATGGCCTTCTCAATTACAGACGAACATGATGTGGTTATAATAGGCGGCGGTGTTGCTGGTTATGTAGCTGCGATAAAAGCTGGCCAGGAGGGTCTAAAGGTATTGATTCCCCAGCCCCAGTGGATTTATGATTCGTGTTGAAACTGATTTCCTCTTCTTTTTTACCTCGTTTTTTCTTTTTTTTTTTTTTTTTCCTTCTGAATATCGAGTCCTCGCTTACCATCGGGTAGACTGTTTGCATCGAGAAACGAGGGAAATTGGGCGGTACATGTTTGAACGTCGGATGTATCCCATCGAAGTCCCTTCTGAATAACTCTCACCTCTACCACCAAATCCTCCACGATACCAAAAAGCGCGGCATCGAAGTCGGAGATGTCAAGCTCAACCTCGAACAGATGATGAAGGCAAAGGATACCTCCGTCGACTCGCTTACAAAAGGCATTGAGTTCCTGCTTAAGAAAAACAAGGTTGACTATGTTAAGGGAGTCGGCTCATTCGTCGACCAGAACACTGTCAAGGTTGATCTGCTCGATGGCGGCGAGCAGGTTTTCAAGGGCAAGAATATCATCGTCGCTACTGGCAGTGAATCTACTCCGTTCCCTGGCTTGACTGTCGACGAGAAGCGCATCGTCACAAGCACTGGAGCTCTATCACTAACACAAGTCCCGAAGAAGATGGTTGTCATTGGTGGTGGAATCATTGGTCTGGAAATGGTATTGTCAAACTCCTCCCACTTCCCCGGGACTCGTGCGCTGGTTGAACTAAAGCGCACTGACACATAAATTAGGCCTCTGTATGGTCCCGATTGGGCGCAGAAGTTACCGTCGTCGAATTTTTAGGCCAAATCGGCGGCCCAGGAATGGATGCTGAGATCGCCAAGCAAGCCCAGAAGATCCTGGGGAGACAGGGTATCAAATTCCTTGTCAACACAAAAGTCACCTCCGGCGACCCCAGCGGCGAAAACGTCGTTCTGAATGTCGAAGCCGCAAAGGGCGGCAAAGAACAAACCCTGGAGACTGACGTTGTGTTGGTCGCCATCGGCCGCAGACCGTACACAGAGGGTCTGGGCCTGGAGAAAGTGGGTCTCGAAGTCGACAAGAAGGGTCGTGTGGTCATCGACCAGGAGTACCGGACAAAGGCCCAGCACATCCGCGTCGTCGGGGACTGCACATTCGGGCCCATGCTCGCACACAAGGCTGAAGAGGAAGCCGTCGCGGCCGTCGAGTACATCAAAAAGGGCTACGGCCACGTCAACTACGCTGCCATCCCCAGCGTCATGTACACGCATCCCGAGGTGGCCTGGGTAGGCCAAAATGAAGCCGAAGTCAAAGCGGCCGGCATCAAGTACCGCGTCGGCACGTTCCCGTTCAGCGCCAACTCACGCGCCAAGACCAACCTGGAAACCGAGGGCCAGGTCAAGTTCATCGCGGACGCGGAGACGGATCGGATCCTGGGCGTGCATATCATCGGCGCCTGCGCGGGTGAGATGATTGCGGAGGCCACACTGGCTATCGAGTACGGCGCTAGCTGTGAGGATGTAGCGCGGACATGCCATGCGCACCCGACACTTTCGGAGGCTTTCAAGGAGGCGGCTATGACTACCTACTCGAAGGCTATTCACTATTAGAGAGAAGAGAGAGAGGATGAGTTCTTGGTTCTTTCAGCTTTTGCCCTTTTACCTTGTCTTGTCTTTGCTTACACTTCCGTACATGGAATAAGAAATTTTCCCGCTAAAATCGCAGAAAATACCTCCCACCTGTATATGCAAATATCCCCGCCCTACGCTGATGTCAAATGTACCCCACCGCACCCAACTAACCTATGTATCTTGCTGGCGAATAATTCTCCTAGTATTATTTTATATTTTATTTGGATTTTTTTTTTTTTTTTTTTTCATTTTTTCCTGTAAAATTTTTGTATGTGATAACAAACCTTTCTTTTTAAATCTATACTTTTGCTGCATTTGATACATGGCCATATTCATATAAACATCTATGTACAAAATAAAATCTGGACCAGAAACAGCAAATCCTCATACAGATGTTATTTGTTCCCCCATGGGCGTGAGTTACAGAAAATGAGCTGGAGCAATGTTGGTTTGCATTGGAGACTTAAAACCCAAATCTGGAAGTGTGAAAAAGCACGGACATCACCCCAAGGCCAAGGCAGATAGTTATGTATTGTTTGGATGTAAATTTTGTTTGGATGTAAATTTTTCACAATGAATTCAATAAATCATCCGCCGCATGCAGAAGCTTCTAATAATAAAACCCCCTTGGCTATATCTCAAGTCCCCTAAACGCCAACAAGAGGATCAAAGGAAGAAGCGAAAATCGGTGGTGGGAAAAGGAGGGAAACATGATACTACATTGTCACCCTAACCTAGCACAGGTACACTACGTGCATCCAGCACGAACCCCGACGACGTAACAATCCGCTCAGCATAAGTCACACCAGGCGCACAAGGCTGTATCCAGTCTTCCAGCACAGCCATAAACACATCGCAGACGGCCTTGACCGCTTCGTCGTGTGAGTCGGAGCAGCTTTCGATATAGACTGTCAAAAATTTACTTATGTTAGCCAACCCACCCCTTTCATATCGTACCATAGTGGACCCTTATGATATGAGGTACACCACGAACAAATCCAGCAGCACAGGGGAGCCTTGAGAAATTAACAGGACAGAACACAGCGTACGTACTCTTAATCTTCGGCTCCGTCCCGGACCCGCGTAATGTGAACCGAATCCCTCGCTCTGACCACACAGTCACCATCTGATTATTCGGATCAGCGGGTAGCTGCATGCCACCATCCTCACCACCAGCGCCAGAATCAAATCCAAACGTCACATCCCGCCAGCGCAATATGGGCAAGCGCCCCACCATCCCCAACCGCTCCTGCACGCCCCCCTCCCCCAACCCCTTCTCCGCAACCTTCTCACGAACGCCCTCAAACAACTTCCGCGTAACCGCCACATCCGGCGACACGAAATACGTGTTCAAATTCTCAAAATACCCGTACCGCCCGTACAGCTGCTTCAGCTTCTCGTACGGTGTCAGCCCCTCGTTGACACGCCAGTGCGGCTCGGCTGCGGCGACGAAGACCATGGCGGCCGTTAGGCCATCTTTGTCATAGCTGATGGCGGGGAACATGTAGCCAAGGGCCTCTTCAAAGCCGAAGGGGACGGTGTAGCCGTCACTGCTGTTCTTGTTCTGGTCGTCGCCGCCGCTGTGTATGCGAGATTCGAGACGTCTGGCGACGTTGCCAAGCCATTTGAAGCCAGTGAGGGTTTCTTGAGCATGGATGGATTCAGCGCGGGCGATTTTAGAGAGCATGCTTGTTGATACGGCTGTGGTGAGCATTGCTATCTTCTTTTGCACATGTGGGGGTTTATCGGGTGTTTGTGAGTGTATAGTGTCCAGCATATAGGAGGCGAGGAGGATGCCGAGTTGGTCGCCGGTGAATTTTATCCAGTTACCGCTAGTAGGAGTTGTTAAATGCGGAAAATAATGGAAATAGGAGATAAGAAGTCAATAGATTAGTGAGTATATATTGAACGTACTTGACTTTCTCCGCCACAGCGAGTCTATCCGCATCCGGATCATTGGCGATGACAAGATCGTGACCCACAGCATCCGCGGTTTTCATGGCGAGATCTAAGGCGCCGCTTTCTTCTGGGTTTGGGAAGGCGACGGTTGGAAAGTCCGGGTCCGGTTCTTGCTGTTCAGCGACGACGGTTACTAAATCCTTCATCCCCAGCTGCTCACATAGCCGGGACATAAGGGAATGTCCGACGCCGTGTAATGGTGTATAGACGAAGGGTCTTTGAGGGCCCGATGACAGTTTTATGGAATTCTATGGAGGGTTCTGTTAAAGGTTGACAGAGGAAGAATATGAAAATGTGGAATGCCACGTACAATGAACAGAGTGACAGAGTCACAGTACATTTTCGCCGTATCCTTGTAGTAATCCAATGCTAGATGTTTACTTTCATCCATTGCGTCCCAAGCGGTCGGCCAAGGCTCCAGATTTTGTTCGATCAGATCCGCGATCTCCGCGTCCATGGGTGAATTTATCTGGCAACCGTTCGATGCGTATCTATAATCCCAGTCAGCAACCAATTACACATCTCCTGGATATTCAAAAAAGGAGTATACAGAAAATTTCTAACACTTTATATCCTAACATCCAGCAAGCATATCAGTACTGCGTCGTTCCTGACAACGTCAAGTAAGGATATCAACAAACCATTATCTCTTGCGGGGTTCTATAAACATATCCCGTCAGCAAAAGCGCCTCATCAACTACTCACCCCAACCAGGAGACACTCACATGACTAGCCGTGACCATAACCCCCCACGCCTCCCGATTCTTCAACACGCCAAAGGGTACAAGCGGCGTTGGCCCAGCACTCCGATACCACAACACCCGAATCCCTTCAGCAGCAAACGCATTCGCAGCCAGCATGGCAAATTTCTTCGAGTTATGCCGTGCGTCGCGGCCAATTATCACCGAAGGCTGCGGGTGCTCCTGCTCCAGCGATTGCTGATGCGACCGTCTGATAAATTTGGCAAGGCCCTGCGAGGCTTGGATGACGGTGAGGGCATTCATCGATGAGAATCCGGCTTGCATACGGCCGCGCAGCCCAGCGGTACCGAATTCGATGCCTATGTATGTAAGCACAGAAGTAAAAATTTGCATGGGCGCTGGAAGGGTTTCATTCATTGAAGTATTCGCCAACGCATTGCCCCAAAATATGAAATTAAAAATTAACGAAACATCGAGATAAAGAGTAAATGTGGACGTACGTTTCCGCAAGCGTTTCTCCAACTCAACTTCATTCTTCTCGTCGCGCAGTCTGATGATTTCGGCGCGAGTTTCAGGGTCCTAAATACGGTTATAACCCGTCAACCCACAACACAGAACGAGGCGTCGATTAAGAATATCCAGCAGAAATTACAATCAATAGGTGGCCAGTTTGTAGGGAGTGGCGGGAATGTCAAGGTGCGGGTTGATAACTACACAAGCCCAATCGGAATTACAACGTACATGGTCCCAATCCAACCATTGGTGGACTAGATCTGATAGCGGTACCTGCCTTTTCGCGTTAATAGGAGCTGGAGCATGTTATATCATGTTCGAACGACTTACTGCGGAGGAATCGTCCATTTAAAGATTAGATAGAGTTCTTAATTAAATATAATTAATCACTTCACGAGAGCGTTTTTCTAACTGTGGTTGAAGCTAATTTCCTTTTATAGCTAAACAACAGGACAACACATGCAAATAGCTAGTTATAGCATCATAGCATCATCTCAAGCATGGGGTAGAAAGGAATCGAATCAGTGTTTGTTGATGTTGGTCATGATAAGAGTGGGGTTCTTGCGCCACAGCCTGGTTTGTTGTTGGGCTTTAGCTTTGTTAGGCTTGCCCGGTTGGCGTCATCGCTGAGGGTACTCCGATCGGTTGGAAGCAATTAGCTATGTGATGCTGAAATATTACTGATCCAATCAACATACAAGAAAGTGAGGGCTTTCCGCGTACAATTTGTGAATGTAACCGTTGAGAAGAGTTTGACCACTCGTACATCAAACGCATACATGTATAACTAATGCTTGCGGAAGCTGTTTTGGTGTAGCTGACAAGCAGTCAAAAAGGATACGTGCTTTCTAGACACATGGAGTTCCTGCGAGGACAACAGTGTCGCTTCTTCTAGAATGGTTCATTAGTGATTTCAATTGCCTAGAAATGCATTAGGGAAGTGGTTAACTAGAGCGTTCAATATAACCAACTGTTGCAGTGCTGAATCAATTACTCAATGTCATTCTGCCTTGTGGAAAATAGGGATCACTGGGTTCTGATGGCTCTCTGGCATCAACACCGCCCAGAGTCATCGCAGCATTGGACACGGAGGAGCAGAGACAGGGAGAAGATGTACTGTACATATGTAGACGTCGTTTGCTGTCGTGAGAAGGAAATCATAAGCCAAAAGGGGTTGTGGGTTGGGTTGAAAGTGCATCACATGATCTCCAGCCTTCAGCCCAACGTCCAACATTCCACTCCGCACGCTCCTCCGTTGACTCCTGGTCTGTATTCCCCAATGGTGTCCGCCATTGCTGTCACTCGCTTTTTCCCTTCGTTATTTGCGCAGTGAAACCAGGAGCCCTTCTTCTGGAGCTCTTAGCCATTCATTCGGGTCATTCTGCTCCAGTCCGGTGACTATGGGCCCGCCGGCGAGCCCAAAACACTCAGCTCGTGGCAGAAAAGACCGAATCCTCTCCCGGCGGGAGATCGAGGGCCTTATTGCAGATGGCAAGCACATCATCATCCTGGATGGGATGGTCCTCAAGGTGGATGCTTGGATCCCATTCCATCCTGGCGGATATAAATCTATCATGCATATGGTTGGGAGAGATGCTACGGATGAAGTTACGGCGTACGGTTATATAACCATTCCCCTTGCGTTGTTCCTTATTGTAAAATAAAATTGGGATTATTGACAGTGGAAACTGACACTGGCTTAGTCTACATTCCCTTGAAGCTCGCCAGCGGATGAATTCGTATCAGATCGGCCGCATCGAGGGCCGCTGGATGAATTTCCTGCCCCCTATCCAGGGTGGGAAATTTCGCCCCTACAACAAGGATGGGCCCCATGCATCCTCCGATGAAGTTGGCGAGGATGATTCCTCGGAGCAGGGCCTCTCGGATCCTCCCTCGCCAATATTCGAACCCATTGAGAACACATCCAGACGCAGAGGGCCGGCATCCTCTGTCTCTTCTGTATCATCCGAATCTCCCAACTCCTCTCCTGCTCCGAAACCAAACTCGAGGCCTCGTTTCCTAGATGCTCGCACCCGAGAGGAAATGCTTGTGGATCTGGCGAAATACCCACCCCTTGATGCCAAAACCCAGGATTTCATCGTCCAGAAATACCGCTCTCTACACGACCAAATCAAAGCAGACGGCTTATATGACTGTGATTACTTTGCATACCTAATTGAATCAGTCCGCTATATTCTCCTTGGAGCCTTGTCTCTTTATTTCCTCTGGCGTGGCTGGTACGCAACCTCCGCCGCGTTTCTCGGGGCCTTATGGCACCAGCTGGTTTTCACCGTCCATGACGCCGGTCACCTGGGCATAACCCACAGCTTCCACGTAGACACTGTCATCGGCATTCTCATCGCAGACTACATCGGTGGCCTAAGCATCGGGTGGTGGAAGCGCAACCACAACGTCCACCACATCGTCACCAACTCCCCCGAACACGACCCAGACATCGAACACATGCCCTTCTTTGCCATTTCTCACCGCTTTTTCGACAGTCTCCGCTCAACCTACTACGACCGCATAATGACTTACGACATCTTCTCCAAATTCCTCGTCCGTTACCAACACTTCCTCTACTACCCCATCCTGGTCTTCGGTCGCTTCAATCTCTACCGCCTGAGCTGGGAATACCTGCTAAGCGGCCAAGCACCGCGCAAGGGCACCGCATGGTGGCACCGCTGGTTCGAGATAGTCGGCCACGTCGTCTTCTGGGCCTGGTTCGGCTACGGTGTCCTCTACCGTAGCATCCCCGACTGGCCCAACCGACTCCTCTTCATCTTCATCAGCCACGCCATCACCATGCCCCTGCACGTGCAAATCACTCTTTCACACTTCGCCATGTCCACCGCCGACCTGGGCGTGAACGAGTCGTTCGCTCAAAAAATGTTGCGCACAACGATGGACGTGGACTGCCCGCAGTGGCTAGATTTCTTCCACGGCGGCCTCCAGTTCCAGGCCATCCATCACCTGTTCCCGCGCATGCCTAGGCATAACCTGCGCAAGGCACAGAAGCTTGTTATGCAGTTTTGCAGAGAGGTTGAGATCCCCTATGCGATTTTTACCTTCCTGGATGGGAATAAGGAGGTTATTGGGCGGCTGGGGGAAGTGGCGGCGCAGGCGAGGTTGTTGGCTGAGTGTCAGAAAAGCATCGTTGCCGAACAGGGGATACATGCCCACGTTCATTAGCGCTTTAGTCGCTAACTAATTCTTTCTGATACGATTTGGTGATATCTCTGAGCTTCTGCTTTAGGGCTGTGGAGGTTGGTTGAGTTTTCATGTTGATCGTTCAATTTCGATATGGTTGTAATTTCCAGTCAGCTTATAGGGTTTTCTTTTTTCCATTTTTTGTGTTTATGCTATAATATCTCTTTGTTCGTTGTTGCTTTGGATTTGTCTGTTCGTCCTTGTTGCTGTTCTGAAGGCGTGCTGCATGTATTGCACATGTTACATACCCCTGTTCGCGCACATACATTAGAAGCTCCATTAGATGATGGGTTGTTGCCGACGAGATATCCATACACACATGTATAGATACGGCGCGGCAATTACATATATAACTTCATTCATGTTGACATACCGCCACAAATAGACCACATATACCCGCAATCTACTTGTCGCATCAAAAATTTCCAATTCATATCCCTCCCCTCGCAATCTTTCTTGCTCTCTGATCTCGCCGATTGTGGTTTGCTCGGCTACCTTTATTTGCATCCTTCCGCCGTCTCGCCATCGCAGTCTCCCGCTCCCCAGAAGGGCCCGCCACATTCCCACCACTACCACTGTCACCACCACCTCTACCATGCCCAATCCCTCTCCTTCCCCGTCCTCTCCCACTTCCCCCACGGCCCCTTCCACCACCATCCGTCTCCTCCTCCGCCTCCCCTTCCGTCCCCGTCCCCGTCCCCGACTCCCGCTGACGCCTCCTATACGCCGTCGCCGGCAACTCCGGCTGTCGATTCACAACCCCACCGCCAGCGCCAAGCATAAAACTCCGCTCCATCCGCGCCAGCCGCTTCGGGTCGCGCGCCAACATCACCGCCCACCCCTCAATCGCCTCATCGGTCATCCCCGTCGCCTCGCGCAACTTTGCACGCGGCGCTGAGCGGCGCGTACCAGAGTCACGGGCGAAGAGGGCAGGCGTCGCTGTGTAGTGGGTGTAGAGCGTTTGGTCGATGGGGTCCGCGTGTGCATGTGCAGCGGCCTCGGCGTCGGCGTCGATGTCGGCACCGGGAACGACAGCGTCGACGGTGCCGCCCACGTCGGCCATGTCATATGTGTCGTCGCGCTCGTCGTCGTCGGAGTCAAAGGCGGCGAGTGCGGAGAGGATGGCGGCTTTGTTTGCCTTTGTGGGCCCTTCGGCGAGGAGGTCGTCGGCAGTTTGGTGCTGGCTTGCGCGGCCGTAGTGGAGGGATTTGGCCGTGGTGGTGTGGCGGGTTAGGTCTGCGTTGTCGAAGATATTTTTGCGCTGCGGGATGGTGGATTGTGGTGGAGGTTGTGGTGGAGATGGGGATAAGGAGGGAGACAGAGGGGGTGTGGGTTTGGGTGCTAGGGGGTCGTGACAGGCTGGGGTTCCACGGGGTTGTTGAAGCTCTTCTGAAAGATTGAGGTCTCGGAGCTGAGGAGCTAGAGAATCCTCGAGAAGATGTGAGATGACCGTTTCGACGTTGTCGTCGTAATAGTCAAGGAGTTTGGCAATATATCCGGTCCCCAGGTGCGGGAAAAGATCTTGGACTTGAGTTATTAGAGCCATTTTATGAATGTGGATATCCCGAGAGATGGCCGTGCTCGCTGGTATGGGTGTGAAGCCCGAGTCCG